TAAACTTTTACTTTAAATGACATCTCCTCATAAACCACTGAGCCAATTTCATCCAAACTTCACAGGAATGTTCCTTTGGTGGTTACCTTTAAAAATTGTTCAAAGAATTTAATTCCATGCAGAACTCTGGTTACCATGGCAACCGAAAGAAAATACTTTAAATATCTTCTTTTAAAAAATCCTAAGAGCTAGAGCTTAGATATTTGGCATGAAATATCTTCTAGTGAGTGTCTACCAAGTTTGTTCAAATTAAATCCCTGGGGTCAAAATTGGCCCTGCCCCGGGGGGTCATTGTTTTTCCCTATATGTATATATAGTAAAAACTGAGAAAATCTTCTTTTAAAGAACCCAAATAGCTAGAGCTAAGATATTCAGCATGAAACATGTTCTAATGAGTGTCTACCAAGTTTGTTCAAATAAAAGCCCTGGGGTCAAAATTGGCCCCGCCCCAGGGGGTCATTGATTTTCCCTATATGCATATAGTAAAAACTTAAAAAATCTTCTTGTAAAGAACTCAAAGAGCCAGACCTAAGATATTTAGCATTAAACATGTTGTAATGGGTGTCTACCAAGTTTGTTCAAATAAAAGCCCTGGGGTCAAAATAAGCCCCGCCCCGGGGGTCATTGATTTTCCTTATATGTGTATAGCAAAACTTACAAAAGCTTCTTTGAAAAAACCCAAATAGCTACAGTTTAGATATGAGGCATGAAACATCTTCTAGTGAGTGTCTACAAAGTTTGTTCAAATAAAAGCCTTTGGGTCAAATTGGCCCCGCCCTGGGGGGGGGGGGGGTCATTGATTTTCCCTATTTGCATATAGTAAAAATTTAAAAAATCTTCTTTGAAAAAACCCAAATAGCTAGAGTTTAGATATTAAGCATGAAACATCTTCTAGTAAGTGTCTACAAAGTTTGTTCGAATAAAAGCCCTTGGGTCAAAACTGGCCCCGCCCCAGGGGTGTCATTGTTTTTAACTATATGTGTATAGTAAAAACTTAAAAATCTTCTTTTAAAAAACCCAATGAGCTAGAGCTTAGATGATGAGCATGAAATATCTTCTTATGGATGTCTACCAAGTTTGTTCAAATAAAAGCCCTTGGGTGAAAATTGGCCATGCCAGAAAGGGGGGAGGAGAGATCATTGTTTTTCATTATATGTGTGTAGTAAAAACTTAACATTGTGAAATAAAAACTTAACATTGTGAAACATCTTCTAATGAGTGTCTTCCAAGTTTGTTTAAATAAAAGCCCTGGGTTTATATACAGGTGAGCGACCTCAGGGCCATCATGGCCCTCTTGTTCTATTACCACTGCTTCCCTTGTGTCTGAGGGGTTGCCTTTAATGTTTGAGGCATCAGAATTGCAGCCACCTTTTATTCCTACGTGATCGTTAGTGGCGACGAAATGGGTTTGAATAACTGGAGTCTATGCATCTCTTAGCATCAGCAGGTAAGTTGGGTTTTTTACCCCTGGTGTTGCATTGAAGATGGTAACACCCGAGGTTAGTCAAAATTATCTTTCCTGTTTTGGTGCTATATGACCTAAATTGTGTTGCTTTGCCATAAAATCAAAAAAACAAATACTATAAGGACTGCTTGCTTAAATGGCTGAAATTAGGCACATATTAGCACTAGCATAACTTCCTGCTGTGGCTTACATTTTTTTCCAAGAACGGGAAAAATAAAGAAATTTAATTTGTCTACTGCAATTTATAGTAATTCCATGAACATCTTTTGTGCTATTAAACACACCTCTGACAATCCAGAGCAAAATTTAAAAAAATATCTATGGTATGGAGACCACTAAACCCTTTCCCCCTTCTCACCCAAATGTTTGCTTACACATACATTTAGCCATAGCAACACCCTTGATTAGGTAGCAGAAGCCTGGTTGCACCAGTAAAGGTGATAAAAAAAAGTCATTGCTACAGTTATGGTGTCCTATGCCGATGCTTTTGCTATCTTTAAACTTAAATATTGGTCAAATTTTTTTTTAGGTTCCTGAATGGATCGTCTTCACACTGGGACACAACAACCTTTTTGACAAGACATTATGAAGACTCATAAATGACCTTGATCTTCAAGGTCAAATTTTTTAATTTTGCTTAATTTTTGCTAGAACTGGCTATAACTTTGTGATTCATGACTGGATTGTCTTCATACTTGAACATAAAACATTTAGACAAGTAGACCAAATTGACCATGACCTTTATTCTTAAATGACCTTGAACTTGAAGTTTAAATCATTACTGAATTTTGCTTGATAATTGGCTTGTGAATTGTCTTCATTCTTAAATACAACTATCTTTTGGGCAGTGTCTTAAAGAAGACCGAATTAAAGTTGACCTTGACTTTTAAATGACCTTGACCTTGAATGTCAAATTAATGTGAATTCACAGTTTATGCTATAATTGGCGGTAACTTTGTAAGTACTTGATGTAGAGCTGTCATTGATTCAATGCAAAGCATATCATTGATATATCGATATCAAGTAACTAAAATCAACGATACACCGATATATCGATAATATCCTATACTCACTTGTCTGTCATTCATTTTCATACCTGTTTCAATGATTTCAGTCAAAAACATGTTCTGTACAGTGTCTTGTCCACTGCATGATTTTTTCTATACAATATTTTTTGTCACCATTGCTATGAAATAATTCCACTATATAACAAAAGCATCACATTTGATATAAATAATTGTTTCTGCATATATTTTGGGTGAATTGTATAATTTCTAGACATTTAATTTATAAGTCAAAAGTATCGATTTTTTAAAGATCCTGTATGTTTTGTGATTGATATTGTTACTGTGTGTATCACACACTTGCAAAATATTATATATGTATATTATTATGCAAATAAAACAATTTTCCTACATCCAAGAATATGTAAAATGTGTACTGCAAATATTTGTGCACATTATATTTAATCAATAAGTTACATGCATTCATTTCTTATTGGAAAATTTGACTTAGAATTTATAGAAAATAAATTTCTAATTACCTCCCTTTATTTACGCGAAATGTTAAATTGGGTAATATCTTTATAGATAATGCTTATTTGAACTTACAAGATTGACACATCTTAATTTGAGCATCATATTTATGAAATAAAACCATGAAAAAAATGTGTTACAGGATCTTTAAAATGTGTATCGATTATTGATTGACAAAAAAATATCAACAATGCATCGATATTGTTGAAATCGATGACAGCTCTAACTTGATGTATTGTCTTCATACATGTGCACAATAATCCTTTGGACAAGACTTGATTAATTCCATCGGCGGGGGATATAGTTTTGGCGTTGTCCGTCTTTCTGTCCGTCCGTCCGTCCGAATTTCGTTTCCGGAGTAGTTCTCTGCAACTACTGGCTGTAATTCAACGAAACTTTATGGGAAACATCAATATCAAGAGGAGATGCTCATATCATTGGCTTGTTCCGGTCCGACCCTTTAACTCTGAGTTATGGCCCTTGATTAGTTATGTAGTATGCATATAGAGTAAAAATCGTTTCCGGAGTAGTTCTCTGCAACTACTGGCTGGAATTCATCGAAACTTTATGGGAATCATCAATACCAAGAGGAGATGTGCATATCGTCGGCTTGTTCCGGTCAGACACTTTAACTCAGAGTTATGGCCCTTGATTAGTTATGCAGTATGCATATGGAGTAAAAATCGTTTCCGCGCTACTATTCTGCAACTACTGGCTGGAATTCAATGAAACTTTATGGAAACCTTCAATACCAAGAGGAGATGCGCATATCGTCGGCTTGTTCCGGTCAGACACTTTAACTTAGAGTTATGGCCCTTGATTAGTTATGCAATATGCATATTGAGTAAAAATTGTTTCCGGCGTAGTTCTCTGCAACTACTGGCTGGAATTCAACAAAACTTTATGGGAATCATCAATATCAAGAGGAGATGCGCATATCGTTGGCTTGTTCCGGTCAGACCCTTTAAGTCAGAGTTATGGCCCTTGATGAGTTATGTAGTATGCATATAGAGTAAAAATCATTTCCGCACTACTTCTCTGCAACTACTGGCTGGAATTCAACGAAACTTTATGGGAACCTTCAATACCAAGAGGAGATGCGCATATCGTCGGCTTGTTCCGGTCAGACACTTTAACTCAGAGTTATGGCCCTTGATTAGTTATGCAGTATGCATATGGAGTAAAAATCTTTTCCGCGCTACTATTCTGCAACTACTGGCTGGAATTCAACGAAACTTTATGGGAACCTTCAATACCAAGAGGAGATGCGCATATCGTCGGCTTGTTCCAGTCAGACACTTTAACTCAGAGTCATGGCCCTTGATTAGTTATGCAGTATCCATATAGAAAAATATTTGTTTCCTCGCTACTTCTCTGCTTCTACTGGCTGGAATTCAATGAAACTTTATGGGATACTAAGAGGAGATGTGCATATAGTCGCCTTGTTCCAGTCAGATACTTATAACTCAGATTTATGGCCCTTGATTAGTTATGTAGTATGCATACATCTCATTGGCATTTCCAGATTTTACTATTTAACACAAAGTTATGGCTCTGTTATTGCCCTGAATATTTATCAAGTTCAAAGAATATAACTGTTTATGCCATGATTAATATATAAATAAAGCCTTATGTCTTCAGTTGTTGTGTTAATAATAACCAGTACTCGGTGGGGGATATAAATTCAATGAATTTGCTTGTCTATAAAATTATAGCACATTTAAGTCTATAGGAGGTGCAGGTTTCTATTTAAGTTTAATAAATCAATGTTATTCTTACTTTTGAATTTGAAGAAAAAAATCGTTTTCTATCAAGATTTAAGAAAAAATCTATAAAATATGCTTTTAGATCAAAATTTGGAAGAAAAAAGTATATTGTTTAAGCTATCTACATTTACAGTAGTAGGGTATTGAAGCACTACAAAATTTACTTTCTTTAAACCATTATAATTTTCACTGTCATGGAACATTGATTTTCAAAAGTAAATAATTCACCATTGTCTTTTGTCTCAGTTCTTTACATTGACAGTAAAATAACCCCCATAAAAGCTTAATTATTGATTGTGGAATACTAATCGTTTTCTTAAAGTCGGCTAGTTAAAGGAAATAAAATTTGGAGATAATTACTCTGGCATTTTAATTGGTATGCTTTCAATTATTCATGAAGCCTCTCTTATGGAAGTTAGTTTTAATTGCTTCCTTGTTCTAAGTTTAATAGTTTAATTATTTTTTTACTCATTAAGGACAAACTTAATTAAAAACAAAATTTATTGGCTATTATTGTATTGGGAAAAAAATATATGGAGGTAGGGTTGGGGAGGGAAAGAGGGTGTTGGGAGTATTAGGGCAGAGGTTATCCTGAATATAGAATTCTACCTAGGTTATGATGTGATTTTGGTAGATTTCACTCCATATTATTGCAGTAAGCCACATTAAATTTACCAGAGCTGTGATTTTGGTAGATTTCACTCCATATCATGGCAGTAAGCCACATTAAATTAACCAAATCACAGTTTAGCCACCACATGGGCAGTCTCTTCAGAAGTTTACCAGTACTAGTTGCCTTCACTATCGCAAGAAACTAATAACATCTGCACATGCCAGAACAGAGGTACAGTGCAAGTGACAGTAAAAAGGATTTCATGATCAATCGCAACAAAAGTGACATGCACTTCTGGTAATCAAACCCAGGTTGCCCGATTCACAGTCCAATGTTCTACCTTATTGAGCTAACCAGACAGTTGAAAATTCTACTTTGGGTAACTGAATCGCTGATAAAATGTATAATGAGGAGTGTGGAAGGGGTTGATTGTGTGTATAGATGAATGAGGGCTTGGTTCTGAAAAGGCCTCCAGGCTCGGGCGAAAGGGACTCTATGAGGGGTTATTATCTCCTGCTGAATTTCAAAATTCTACTTTAATGTACCTGAAAAATTGATAAGATGAATAGAAAAGGATGGGTGAAGGGTCTGTTGGGAATGGAATGAGATGAATAATATCTTGCTATGGATGAAGGGGAGAAGGGTGTTGGGAATGGAATATGAGATAAATAATATCTCGCTATGGTTGAAGGGGACAAGGGTGTTGGGAGTGGAATAGGATAAATGATACCTCACTATGGGTGAAGGTGAGAAGGGTGTTTGGCAGATGGAATAGGATTAAATGACTTACACTCAACTATGGGAGTGAAGGTGAGAAGAGGATACTGTAGGGAGTGGATATGTAAAATAGATCTCGCTACGTTGATGATGTAAGGAGGAGCTAAGTGGTGTCTTGGGTGTGAAATGAGATATGAAATTATATCTCACTGCGACGTTCCAGCGTTACTGGTGGAGGAAGACCTCAGGTGCTCTTCTGTGCATTATTTCAGGTATGAATGGGCACCTGAGTAGAACCACCGATGTTCTGTAAGCTAAGTGGATAACTTCCTCAGATGAAAGAATCCAAAGTCCCTGTCAGGACTCGAATCCTCATTGGTGGAGGGCAAGTGGTTTAAAGAGACAACGATCTTAACCACTCGGCCACAGACACCCCAAAAATTGCCTTCAATAACAACAGAAAAGTAATTCAAAATCATATTTTGCCAACCCTGTACAGACAGACAAGGTTATGGTGTGCATATCCATTTTTGGTGCATAAGCATATTGATCATAATGAACAAGGTACAATGCAGAACTTTTCTTTTTTTGGTACAAATATAAGAATTGCCTTATCTAAGTAACAGATACATGTTATATATGGTACAGATTAAGACTACTGTGAGGAAGGGAAGTTAACTGTGGCAGTAATCATGGGAAGACAACTTTTGATATTTCACATCTGGATTGTATGTACGGTTCTGAATCCTGGGACAGTAAACACGTTATTAGAAGGTGAGTTTTTTTTTTTATCATTTTAAGAAGTATGTTTTGAAACTTTTGAAACTTTTGTCTTAGAATGTATTATAATGTTATCATGAACATTTTGCAAGAGATAAGGATAAGCAGATTATTTCTGAGGAATTTTGTTCTTTTGCTTTTTTTTAAGTATAAAATCGAATCCATAGAGCAAAATGGCATTTTGTCAAGTCCTGATGGAGATACTTTACAGGTATGCCTGCTGTGCACAATAGGGAAAAGTTATCAGATTTGTAATTCAGGGACCAGGTGCAGTCAATTGGGCAGTCGATTGGGCATGCAAAATTTGTCCATGACAATTCCGATATTTGAGCCACGCCACAACAAAACCAACATAATGGGTTTGCGACCAGCATGGATTCAGACCAGCATGCGCATTTGATCTATAGCAAATTATACTCATCAAATTTTATAAAACCATATGAAAAATTATAATTAATTTATCAACAGTTCAGATTTACAAGGATTACGAAACAAATTGTCAAAATTTAAAAAAAATTTCATCAATATGACACATTTTTAAGGTTAGTACATAGAGAATAATCGTAATGCTTTGAATGAAAGCTATCCCAAGTATGAGATCAGCATATGTTTTTGCCAAACATATAATGGTAGCGAAATTTCAGAGTCTGATGCTGTTAATTGCAAATGCCGAAAGTAGGCCGCTTTTTTGAAGCGGTTACTTTCCTTTATATGTACACTAACGCCGAAAAAATTCAGGGGAGATCAATGGGTGAAGATGGTCAAATGACATGCGAATTAATTTTCAAGCAAAATGATTCCCGGATGGTCGAAGATTTCTAATATTGTTTTATTATTTATAGATAAACGTGCTTATAGTAAGCTTCATGATTATTAACATCTGTGTTTAACAAAAGTTAGCATCGAAATAATAAGGGTTACAAACCCTAATTTAAAATAATATGGTTTTCTTTAGGCCTTTTACATTATAACCATGGCCGAGCGGTCTGGAGTTAAAATCCAGGAAGGCAAACCTTCTTTTTTTTAAATTATTTAAGTTTAATAAACATTGAATTGAATATCAGTGTTGCAATTAGTCTTAAAGCCAATTAACTACAATTAAAACGCTGGAAAGCACTGGTGGCACTTTACAAAAACAAATTGGTTTATAATCTCACAACCTTCACCTTTCTGACATTCTGAGACCCAAACAAATTCAGTGCCTTCTGCGCTTTGATTTGTTCAAGTGATTGTGGTTTTGTAATTTACCCTCCGAATCAAGGCAGTAAGTCACAGCACAGTTCAGCCTGTTCATCATTTATAGGCAGGCTGTCAGGCAGTTTATTATCCCCCGCCGAAAATTTTCGGCGGAGGATATAGTAATAGTCTCCGTCCGTCTGTCCGTCCGACCTTCCGTCCTTCCGTCCGTCCGTCCTTCCGTCCGAAATTTTTGTCCGGAGCATATCTCTAAAAGTATTTGAGTTATCAACTTGAAACTTCATAGGTGGATAGACCTCATTGAGGAGGAGTGCAGTGCACAAGAATGATAACTCTACCTTGCATGATTTTTGAGTTATTGCCCTTTGTTATTTTTCAAAATTGATTTTTGTCCAGAGCATAACTCCAAAAGCCTATGAGATATTAACATGAAACTTCATAGGTGCATAGATCTCACTCAGGAGGTGTGCAGTGCACAAGAATGATAACTCTTCCTTTCATAATTTTTGAGTTATTGCCCTTTGTTATTTTTCATACCTAATTTTTCACCTGAGTGGAGCATAACTCAAAAAAATGTTTGAGATATCAACATGAAATGTCATAGAAGGATAGATCTTATTGAGGGAGAAATGAGTGTGCGCAAGAATGATAACTCTTCCCTATACAATTTTTGAGTTATTGCCCTTTGTTGTTTTTTTCATGCTATTTTGTCCAGAGCTTATCTGAAAAAGTATTTGAGGTATCATCTTGAAACTTCATAGGTGGATGGATCTCATTGAGGAGGAATGCAGTGCTAAAGAATGATAACTCTGCCCTGCATTATTTTTGAGTTATTGCCCTTTGTTATTTTTCAAAATTAATTTTTGTCCAGAGCATAACTCAAAAAGCCTTTGAGATATCAAAATGAAACTTCACAGGTGCATAGATCTCACTCAGGAGGTGTGCACTGCACAAGAATGATAACTGTACCTTTTATAATTTTTGAGTTATTGCCCTTTGTTATTTTTCATACTTAATTTTTCAATTCAATTTTTTTCTCAAAAAGTATTTGAAGTATCAACTTGAAACTTCATAGGTGGATAGATTTTACTGAGGAGGGATGCAGCACACAAGGATGATAACCTACCCTGCATTATTTTTCAGTTATTGCCCCTTGTTATTTTCAGCCATCAGTATTCACATAGGTTTCAAATCTGTAATCACGATAGCCATCAGTTTTCATTACCAAAAGACCTCTTAAAATGGAATTATTCTGCTCTACTACATATACATTCTTCCAATGAGCAAACACATTCGGCGGGGGATGGCCATGTTGACATGGCTCTTGTTTACCTTCAAATTTGCAAAGAATATATATTACAGCTGTATGTGGAGAGCAGTGGTACAGTGCATTTGACCGTAGAAAGGATCTCATGATCAGTAAACAAAGAAAGTGAACGTGCCCTGGCAAGGAATCAAACCTAGGTCATTAGAATTATTGTTCAATACTCTACCAATTGAGCTAACAACATACATGTGAACTCTCCCACTTTTAGCGGGAAACTCCCACTTTCTGCAGCCATATTTTCAAAGATTTTTGTTTAAAATAAGGGGTATTTTCACAAATGAAAGAAATCACCTTCTTTTTTATTACAAATTCTAAATCTCCATCTATTTGAAGAAAAATCTCCTACTTGATCATCAAATAAAGTTCACATGTATGTAACGACAATGCTACAATGTATTTTTTTTCAAGATATTATCTTGCTTTGTATATATTACAGAGGGCAATTATGATGATCTTACTTGTATGTCAGAGAAATCAGATGTCGGTGTAGACCCCAACGCCATTTCTGGCAGTTTAACAGGTCTAGACAATAACTTGGGTATGAAACAAGATATTGTTTATGGTGGCTGATTTTGTGCCGAAAAGTCAAGAATTGACAAGGCCAGTTTAATTTTATTAAACCTCTCTTCACTCTGCCACTGTTTTATTCCTTAGATCTCGCTCCAGGCTCCCTTTTATTAAACTGCACTCTGGGCCCCGCTAATAAGCGGTTTTTAGCTCCATGTCCCTGCCATTTTAAGTTGTTAATTCTCAAATTTCAACCCCGAGGGTCGCAGAGTAAAAACACAAACGGCACAAATCAGCCACCATAATTGTTCAATAAATGTTAATTTTTAGCTCGACTTTTCTATGAAAAGGGGAGCTATCCTACTCGCCCCGGCGTCGGCGTCGGCGTCGGCGTTAGCGTTAGCGTTGGCGTCACACCTTGGTTAAGTTTTTCGTACCACCCCACTTTATTTCAGAAGTATTACAAGTATGGCTTTGAAACTTACCATACTTGTTCACCATCATAACCTCCATCTACAGACAAGAGTACATAACTCTGTCAAGGTTTTTGACAGAATTATGGCCCTTTTTTCACTTAGAAAGTGTATTGAGCTTGGTTAAGTTTTTTGTACCACCTCACTTTATTTCAAAACCATTGGAGGTATTGCTTTGAAACTGACCATACTTGTTTACCATCACGACCTTCATCAACAGACAAGAGGACATAACTCTGTCAAGGTTTTTGACAGAATTATGCCCCTTTTTGACTTAGAAAATACATTGAATATGGGTAAAATCCACTTATTGCCTTAACCCTTTGAGATATTGCTTTGAAACTTTTAATGCTATTTCACATCATTACCCCCATCTGTACGCAAGAGAAGGTAACTCTGTCAAGGATTTGTTTTAAAAATTAAGGCCTTTTATCGACTTAGAATCTTGGTTAAGTTTTTTGTACCACCTCACTTTATTTCAAAACCATTGGAGGTATTGCTTTGAAACTGACCATACTTGTTTACCATCACGACCTTCATCAACAGACAAGAGGACATAACTCTGTCAAGGTTTTTGACAGAATTATGCCCCTTTTTGACTTAGAAAATACATTGAATATGGGTAAAATCCACTTATTGCCTTAACCCTTTGAGATATTGCTTTGAAACTTTTAATGCTATTTCACATCATTACCCCCATCTGTACGCAAGAGAAGGTAACTCTGTCAAGGATTTGTTTTAAAAATTAAGGCCTTTTATCGACTTAGAATCTTGGTTAAGTTTTTAGTACCAGTCCACTTTTTGACTGAACTGTTTGAGATATTAATTTGAAAGTTGGAATACTTGTTTACAATCATGATTCCCAAACATGTCCAGGAGAAGGTAATTCTGTCAAAGATTTTATTTGAATTATGGCCCTTAACTGTCAATGTTTTGTATTATAGGCAAGCACTAAAAAAGTCGAGCGCGCTGTCTTACGGACAGCTCTTGTTTAAACAACTGGACTATATATATAGACACAAAAATTATGTGCTTTCAAACTTTGCCTCAGTTTTGGTTTTAAATTTTCTAAAAGTGGAGATAGTGCTCCATTTTACATAGCCTGCTCTTATAGCAAAAAGGTCTTGATGTACCACCTTAAAACTTAAAAAAAAATATGTGTGTGCCTTTTAAATTTTTTTTTTTGCTCCTAAGAAGATATAGTCTGTGCCTTGTTTGTCTGTCTGTCTGTCTGCACTAAAATAGAGAGCCATCTAACTGTAAACAGAACAATAAAGAACCATAGAGTTCATTCCTTACCAATAGACTAAAGGGCAAATGAATGACCCTTTATTAAGCAAAGGAAATGTACAAAATAAATAGCCCCTTATATCATTACAAGCACATGTCCGTCTGTCTGTCACACTCTTGTCCTGAGAATAACTTGAAAAGAATTGAAGGAATTGAATCAATACTTTGAACAATCATAGAGACCAATAAGAGGAAGTGCTTTGTCAAAGAACAATAATTTTACCATACTTATTTTTAATTATCTCCCTTTATGATAATTTCAAAATTATCTATCTTATATCTCATTAAAACAACATATGTTATATAGATAAGTAACAGGAAATGCATCGTTTAAAAACTCTTCAATACTTACCTTTTGTCACTATGACCTTTACCATTGAAGCATGTCTGACCAATAACTAGAGGACACTTTACTACAGTACTTAAAATTAGTGTTAAGGTTGGTCATCTCTTGATGATGACCCCTATTGATTCTGAGGTCAATTTGTCACAGGTCAATGCCACTCAGTGATTTTGACCACCGAATGCTTTTCTGGCCAAAAGCAAGAGAACAATTTGGTTTATAGTCTAAAATTTAGTGTGGGAGTTGGTCATTACAAGTAGATAACCCCTTCTAATTTTCAGGTCATTAGGTCAAAGGTCAAGATCCAAGTGATCCTATAATTATAATCCTTGTCCTGTAAATAACTTAAAAAGGAATAAGCATTACTATGTTAAACTGAGTTGAGACATTACGCTCCCTAGGATTTTGAGATCATTTGGTAAAAGGTCAAGGTCACTGTGTCACACTGATTTTCAGCATTACTTTGTTAAACTTAGTAAGGACATATTGATTTTGAATCATTTGGCCAAAAGTCAAGGTCACTGTGACACACTGTTTTTAAGCATTACTTTGTTAAACTGAGTAGAGACATTATCCAGGGGCAGTAGATGTTCCCTATAGATTTTGAGATCATTGGTCAAAGGTCAAGGTCACTGTGACACACAAGTTTTAAATCCTTATTGGATCAATAACTGGAGAAGTACATGTAATAAGCATTTGCTCATGAAACATTGTTGGCCCATTGTCTATTTACAGTAGTAGACTCCTTTTGATTTTGCTGTGTCTATGTGTCTTAAAATTCATTGAAAAATACATAGAGTGAAACTCTATGACGTGCAATGAATTTTTTAATAACTTTCTTCTTAATGATTTATTTTGCACATATTGTCATATAAGAGCAATAACTGGTTAACTCTTATACATTTAGAAGGGCATAACTCATTACTCCACTAAGGTGACAATATATTCCTTTTATGATTTTTATGCTGATATGCACATATATTATCTCTTGCACTTTCAGCTTTCTCATATGTGTGCGAGAACTTCAAGTATATGTTTAAATGTTGTGGGAAAATCAAAGAATGGAAACTGTGGGCTGGTAAAACTGGAACGATCCAGTTACAGGTATGGAGACGAACTGATACAGCCGTCTATGAAATGATCGGAGAAAACTATTGTCAAATTACAAGTAAGTTTTTACAGAGGGTTTAAAAGTTATATTCTCGTTGCAGCATGCCACTGTAAGTTAAAATCTCTCTTAGCACAATTGAGTTTATTTGAGGAAGCATTAATTTTCAACTGGCTTGCAGATGGGTTTTCCTCTACAAGTAAAAACAAGTTATAGTTCCCAGAGTTAACAGTGATGCAGAAATAAATCATTTTTACATGCATATAGGAAAAGAAATTGAAAAATGTTAAACTTTACCCTATGGTAAATATTAGTAGTTTGTCAGTCAACAGTAAGGAGGTGGCAATAGCAAGTCACATTTGGTGACCACAGTTCAACAAGATAGCATGGTCAGCTTTACTATAGAGAATATAATATAAGAGGAGAATAATTATAGGGTTATCTTCCAGTAGTAAAAATTAGAAAATACTAATGTGACCATAACAGAGAAGGTTTTACATTAAATTCAACCTGAAAATTGAAAGAAAAAAATCATAAACAATAATTTATATTCTGTTACTTTTCTGTTTCAGATGCAAATCAGTTAACAACATGCCCCATCAATGATTATGATAAAATTCTAGTACGATACGGAGACTTTGTTGGCTGGTTAGTACATTTTAATGTTGAGTATAAAATATTATAAATTTTGGTTGACTGTCGCCAGTCGAAAATATTTTTGAATGTTTTGTATCTAATAAATTAACTGGGTAGCAAATCTAAAGCAGAAAATATTGTTCTAGAATCTAGCAAAATCCCCATATTGAATTGAAGGAAAAATTTAGCGATTTTTTTTCTCTGCGATATTCATTGCATTAGGTTAGGTACTTGTGAAAAGAACATGATATTCAGTATATTATTTTCATATTGTAGAGTGCTCTGTTAAATAACATAATTAATTTGGAAATTCATGTACTGGAATGAATGTAAATAATTTGTATGTATAGAATAAAGTAGAAAAATAAGTGAACAAAATGATTAAAGATCCTGTTGTACTTTAAAGGTTGTTACCACATATTATATATGTATATAATTATGCTTAAAAACATTTTTCAAACATAGAAGAATATGTAAAATATGTACTGCAAATATTTTTCCGCATTATTATTATAATCATTAAAATTAAAACATATGCATTCATTTCTTATTGAAAAATTTGACTTGGACTTTATGGAAAATAAATTTCCAATTTTGTAACCTCCCTTTATTAACATGAATATGTAAATTTGGTACAATATTGATAAATCTTCATTTGAGCATTATATTTATGACAAAAACCATAAAAAATTTGAGTTACAGGATCTTTAAAGAATATTCAATTTGTATATTTCTTTGGTAAATATAATTTTCTTTTTGTTGAAATTTCCAGGCATAATCAAGGCAACGAGACGATAATGTATATGGAAAGAGGTCGTACTGACAGCACACTGGAGAATCTTTTCCGTCGTAAAAATGTGGGAGATTTGTACCCAGGTGATACGTATGACTGGAGTGAAGTTGAGGCCTATAATGACAGACTATATGCTTTACAAGCCATCTATGAAACATGTATGTTTTACATTGTATACAAAATACTTTCACCTTACTTTCTTACTTTGGGTAATACACTAGCTTGGTCTTGGTCTTTTAAAACTTCCCATTCTCAGTTAAAGTCATTCAGAATCGTAAAAATCTCAAATTAAGCAGACTTGTACAGCTGTAAGTAAGATCTGCAAGCTGACATGGTGTTATACAGGTGGTGTGGCGCCACCTATCAATATATTTACCAATAGATTGGGAGCAGACACAATTTTGAAAGAAGTTTTTTCCCAGGGTGCACAAAATTGAAGGCTAGAACTCTTCTGAATATAGAAAAAAAAATTCTATATTTATTGTCAAAGATAATGCACATTACATCATGATCTTATTTATTCAATCATTTGCTCAATCATTCATCTATTCATTCATTTAATCATTCACTCAATCAACCAATCAACAAAGTAATCAATCAGTCTATATGTACATGTACAACCATAAGGTTGCGTATTTTGAGTCCAAAATTATGATTTATTTTATCATTGGTATGCTTAACCCTTTCCTTCATGAGCATATTGTGAAAATGCCATTTTCATTGAAAAGCCTCCTGTTACAAATTTAAACTGCTATGGAACTATGAAAAATGCTTCAATACTGATAAAAGTTTGCACAAATGTTGACTGGACCATAGTCTCTGTAACAGCATGCTCAATCTTAAATTTCCTGTTACATTGGCAACGGGGGACGTCTCAAAATTGCCAAAAATCACTATTACGATTGACCCTTACCCTTCTGGTAACCCTTTGATGTACCTTTTTTATCAACATTTCTCAAACGAGAAACATTGTTTGGGATCTAAATAGGGCATTTTTTCACTGTTTGAGGCCTCAAAAAAGGGGGGAGGGCCGGGTTGAAAAGTGACAATTACGTTTTAGATTTTTTTTTCAGCCACCAACCCAACATTTGATGTGAGTGATATGACAGTGCCTGACTATATAAACAATGGAGATACAATAGGTAGAATAACGTATCAGGACACTGACCACATGGATAACCGGTCTTTGATTGTTGTACCGTACGAGACATCTACTTACTATACTACAGATATCCCATCAGGTTATATTTGTATTTTCATATTGCTTTTTGGTAGGGCCGGGAATTATATTCGAATATTCGAATATTCAAAACACTACGGAATATTCGAACATTGAAAAACGAATACGAATATTCGAAAAAAAGGAGAAATGTTTTATTTTTTGTCATTACTTTCAAATTTCTATTAAGATCGTAAATTAAACCTTTTCCATTCCCTTGACCAGGTGTTCAAATGTTTGTATGACGCGTGTCAACAAATATCGCCAATTAACTGTGAAAACTTTGGGGTCTAGTTGATCAAAAGGGCACTCGTTTCACAGTTTGCAATTTACCTGTTTAACAGTTTATAATGTAAATTTTTCCGATTTTAATTATCTTATTTATTGTTTTCTGTGTTATAATCTTTCCGATTTATCAATAATTGTCTTAAATTTTGTGAATAAGAATAAATCGGCACGCATTACGTAATCGGCGCGTTATGAAAGCATGGGAAGTGTCTAAATTCCGTCAGAATATATTTATTCCGTAGACATTAGACACCGTGTGATATTTACTGCGTTATACTTAAGAATATTTTGAAATTTATCTAAATTTATAAAAAAATTAAGTTTCAATATAATTATGTGTTTTTGGGGCTTAGAGGCTACGATGATTCATATTACTGTCAGTCAAGTCACGCGAGTTACATCCCGTTGATAAGACAGCGGTCAGGTTTACCGTACAAAAGACAATCAAATTATGAATTTATTTCAAAAGTAAACATATATCTCGATTTACAATATATAAAATAAAATAAACTTTGACATAGCAATAAAATTCTTTTTAATCGCCGATTATTCTAAGCATTTTAAAGTAGTATAGTACTATTCGACGCAATCAATTTCTGATACGTATACGTCAAAGAGAAATATCGGAACAAATGTTGTAAAAACGAATATTCGAATATATTCGAATATGGAAAACGAATATTAAAACATCCAATTCCTTATTCATTCCCAGCCCTACTTTTTGGACAGGTTATATGGCCAAGCATAGCAGTAAGCATTATATAACCAAAGATGCAGGACATAGATAATATGGAACATTGTTGACCATATTACCTGTCAGAGGTCTTTATTTAAGCTATATATTTCTTTTATGTAACCAAAGATGCAGGACAAGGATTATATGGCAAACTGTTTATGCATGACCATATACATGTAACATTTTTATTAAGCTATATATTTCCTGTTTGTAATACTGCACATTTATAATGTAGCTCTTCATTTGATAATCGTAATTTTTATATAGTTTTATATACACAGCTATTGTCAGTTAACAAGAAATCTTGTATTTTAAAACAAAACAATCTATTATCAATTTTAAGATTTATTAAGTAGTGAAAAAAAAAGTGAAAATTGCTGAGCCAACATTGCATGGTATATGACAGATGCCCGGCCAGGTTCTGCACTGGTCATAAAGACTTTGCAATTAAATTATTTCGTTTCTTTTTTGTAAGCATAATCAGCCAATTATTGGTTTTTCTTTGTTATTTTTAATCTATTTTAACTAACTATATTTTAAAAGGCTATGTGTCAGCAAATACAGCATACAGACCGAGGGATGATGTTTTAAAGTTTGCCATGTACGATCTGTGTTATAAAACAGCAACTGCGTCTGTGACAGTGTCAGTCAAGTTAATAGTAAGTCAAAATAACTGCTTTATTGTTTTGCAAATGATGTCTTGCCTTTTACAATCAGTATTAAGCCAGGTCAGCCTGTACATCCATGCATTCTGACCAGGCTCTATACTGGTTGGGTTCTAATTCACTCTCAATGTCTGCAATAATAAAATTTGTTAAAATTTATACTTTGAAATCAATGCGATAATGACTTAATTGTCATAAGTCACCCAGTATAAAATGAGCCGTGTGATGACAAAACCAACATAAAGCGTTTGCGACCAGCATGGATCCATACCAGCCTGCACATCCGCGCTGTCTGATCAGGATCCATGCTGTTTGCTTACAAACTCTTTTCAAGTTGAAAAACTGATAGCAAACAGCATGGATCCTGATCAGACTGCGTGGAGGTGCAAGCTGGTCTGTATCCATGCCAGTTGCAAACCCATTATGTTGGTTTTGTCATGACGTGGCTCAAATTATACAGTCTCCATGTTCATGTAGTTTAACCAGACTTATATACATGTATTGTCAAATGTTCAATATGATCTTTCTCTGCATCATTATAATAATTATTATAATTTTTTCATGTATATAGTGAGTGAACAGGTAAGAGTATAAATAAATTTTCATTTTGCTTTAATTCCTTTTAATTTGATAATTTACATCACATAGACAATAAATAACCCCCTGATCCAAACGAAATTTCTGTAAATATCTTTTAGAATTTACCTAACAGTTACCTTCAGTTTATAAAAGTGTGGGGCAGTTTTTTTATATTTTAGGCAGATTTTAAATTTTATCCAAAACATTTTCAAATATAAACTGTTGGTCAAACACCATTCAAACAATCAATCTTTTGAAATATTAAGTCAATTCAGCTCACCTTTACTATGAAAATATGAGCATAATGTCACTTTAACTTCTGTTCTTTGATATTTGATAGGGGTTTCACATCATTTTGACTTATATATGATATGTTGGTTGCAAGATCCTTGTTATTATCTTTAGAGCTTTCAAATTGTATCTTAAGTAATTGTGACATTAACATGTGACATAACTGATAATGTAACCTTTCATGTCACATAATGGCTGTATAGCAGAATATAAATCAAGACTTGGTGTGAGATATTATACAATTATTGACTAGTGAGCCATTGAATATGATGTGATATTCACCGGCAGATGACATATTGACCGAGGCGATAGCCGAGGTCAATATGACTTTCTGCCGGTGAATATCACATCATATTCAATGGCTCACTAGTCAATAATTGTTTTATTATATGAATAGGCTAAGAAATAAAAAAAATCACAAAAAGTACACCCTTATATACATGTACAAATTTTGCCTCGTTGAAGCGCGGGAAAAAAGATGCACGTGTAAAGCGTGCAACGACTTCGCGAACGCTGCGCATACAAAAGTAATTCAAGTTTATACTCAACATTGCGGTGTAGCCTTTAAGTAAAATGGTAATGTATTGATATTTTAATCGAGAAATATGCCATAAAGAACAAAAAGCAACAATTATTTTTTAAGTAACATGCATACTTAGCAGTCTACGGTGTATGATCATTGAATATGAGTCTCAATCTATTTTTAGACTGGGAAAATCCAATTCAGCCAGTGAATATGATACTACACCCAGTAAATATGATTTTATAAAAAGTTCTGTTGACTACTGTTTGGACCAATGAGATTGCAGATATATTTAGATCATATAATAATATAATATAAACTGATCTCCGAACTACTGCTTCAGTTACATACAAATCAAATCTCTAACTCAAGAATGAATAATCCTTTTGCAATATGTACATGAAGTTTAATTAACATGGCAGAATGATTCTTGTCATTGAAGTATAATTGAGCCGCGTCACGACAAAACCAACATAATGGGTTTGCGACCAGCATGGATCCAGACCAGCCTGCGCATCCGCGCAGTCTGATCAGGATCCATGCTGTTCGCTTACATACTCTATAACAAGTAAAGAAACTGATAGCGAACAGCATGGATCCTGATCAGACTGTGCTGATGCGCAGGCTGGTCTGGATCCATGCTGGTCGCAAACCCATTATGTATTTTGTCATGACACGGCTCATTTTTATTGACAGGATCTAGTGATTGATAATCTGGATGCTACGTTTACAATATCTGAGACAAGTTCGACCCAGACGTTACTACATACAGTGACGGTGACAGACCCCTCAGATCAGTGGTACTGTTATTCTAACTGGGATACAAGCTATCCGTTCATGTTGAAAGCTTTGACCACAGAATGTAAGTTCGTAATATTATATGATTTTGCTATAAATTCTTTTTAACAGATTACTAATACCAGTTATCTTGAATGCCAGTAAGCATGTCTGTATTTCTTTTCAAAAATTGCTGTGACAAAGGAAAACAACCTCTCGGATGGGTTTAATCGATTTTCAGACAGAGTTATAGTCAGATCAGTCCAGAAAAGGAAAAGTTGTAGCATGGCCGAGTGGTTAATAAGGCAGACTAGTAATCTAATGATTGCTAGCCGTATAGGTCCAAACTCAGTCAGGGTCAAGTTGTTGTTTCCTTGAGCAAGAAACCCCACACTCATTGCTCAGTACTGGATGGTTCCAGGGATGGATTTGAAAGTGTGTCTATAAGCTTATAGCTTCTTACACAATCAAACTAAAGTAAATTCTGTATAAACCATAAGGAAAAGTTAAGAAATTGAAGATCCTGCACCAAACTGGATCCAAAGTAGTTTCATATTTCTATCATGTTTTGTGTGCCAGCCACACTACAGAATGATCAATTTTTGTCTGGTAGATGCTTGGAATCATGTCTATATTGAATTATATTTCTTACATTTTTATAACTGTGGAATATTTAAAACAGCATTTGAGGGATATATATATGTATATATGTTTGCAGCATATATATGTAGAATACACATGTATATAATTTTAGCTTAGATATATGTACTATATTTTTTCAGCATGTAAATGTAAATTATTTTTTAAGCATATAAATGTGTCTATTTTCTTTCAGTAGATAAAGGTGGAATATGTCACACAGAATATAAATGTAGAATATATTTAACTGCATGTAAATGTAGAATATTTCTTACAGCATGTACATGTAGAATATTTCTTACAGCATATACATGTAGAATATTTCTTACAGCATATACATGTAGAATATTTCTTACAGCATATAAATGTAGAATATTTCTTACAGCATATACATGTAGAATATTTCTTACAGCATATACATGTAGAATATTTCTTACAGCATATAAATGTAGAATATTTCTTACAGCATATACATGTAGAATATTTCTTACAGCATATAAATGTAGAATATTTCTTACAGCATATAAATGTAGACTATTTCTTACAGCATATAAATGTAGAATATTTCTTACAGCATATAAATGTAGAATTTTTCTTAACAGCATATAAATGTAGAATATTTCTTACAGCATATACATGTAGAATATTTCTTACAGCATATAAATGTAGAATATTTCTTACAGCATATACATGTAGAATATTTCTTACAGCATATACATGTAGAATATTTCTTACAGCATATAAATGTAGAATATTTCTTACAGCATATGCATGTAGAAATATTTCTTACAGCATATAAATGTAGAATATTTCTTACAGCATATACATGTAGAAATATTTCTTACAGCATATACATGTAGAATATTTCTTACAGCATATAAATGTAGAATATTTCTTACAGCATATACATGTAGAATATTTCTTACAGCATATAAATGTAGAATATTTCTTACAGCATATACATGTAGAATATTTCTTACAGCATATAAATGTAGAATATTTCTTACAGCATATACATGTAGAATATTTCTTACAGCATATACATGTAGAATATTTCTTACAGCATATAAATGTAGAATATTTCTTACAGCATATACATGTAGAATATTTCTTACAGCATATACATGTAGAATATTTCTTACAGCATATAAATGTAGAATATTTCTTACAGCATATAAATGTAGAATATTTCTTACAGCATATAAATGTAGAATATTTCTTACAGCATATAAATGTAGAATATTTCTTACAGCATATAAATGTAGAATATTTCTTACAGCATATAAATGTAGAATATTTCTTACAGCATATACATGTAGAATATTTCTTACAGCATATAAATGTAGAATATTTCTTACAGCATATACATGTAGAATATTTCTTACAGCATGTACATGTAGAATATTTCTTAGAGCATATACATGTAGAATATTTCTTACAGCATATACATGTAGAATATTTCTTACAGCATATAAATGTAGAATATTTCTTACAGCATATACATGTAGAATATTTCTTACAGCATATAAGTGTAGAATATTTCTTACAGCATATAAATGTAGAATATTTCTTACAGCATATAATGTAGAATATTTCTTACAGCATATAAATGTAGAATATTTCTTACAGCATAGAAATGTAGAATATTTCTTACAGCATATACATGTAGAATATTTCTTACAGCATATAAATGTAGAATATTTCTTACAGCATAGAAATGTAGAATATTTCTTAACAGCATGTACATGTAGAATATTTCTTACAGCATATAAATGTAGAATATTTCTTACAGCATATACATGTAGAATATTTCTTACAGCATATAAGTGTAGAATATTTCTTACAGCATATAAATGTAGAATATTTCTTACAGCATATAAATGTAGAATATTTCTTACAGCATATAAATGTAGAATATTTCTTACAGCATAGAAATGTAGAATATTTCTTACAGCATATACATGTAGAATATTTCTTACAGCATATAAATGTAGAATATTTCTTACAGCATAGAAATGTAGAATATTTCTTACAGCATGTACATGTAGAATATTTCTTACAGCATATAAATGTAGAATATTTCTTACAGCATATACATGTAGAATATTTCTTACAGCATATAAATGTAGAATATTTCTTACAGCATATAAATGTAGAATATTTCTTACAGCATGTACATGTAGAATATTTCTTACAGCATATACATGTAGAATATTTCTTAAAGCATATAAATGTAGAATATTTCTTACAGCATATACATGTAGAATATTTCTTACAGCATATAAATGTAGAATATTTCTTACAGCATATACATGTAGAATATTTCTTACAGCATATACATGTAGAATATTTCTTACAGCAATATAAATGTAGAATATTTCTTACAGCATATAAATGTAGAATATTTCTTACAGCATATAAATGTAGAATATTTCTTACAGCATATAAATGTAGAATATTTCTTACAGCATGTACATGTAGAATATTTCTTACAGCATATAAATGTAGAATATTTCTTACAGCATATAAATGTAGAATATTTCTTACAGCATATAAATGTAGACTATTTCTTACAGCATGTACATGTAGAATATTTCTTACAGCATATAAATGTAGAATATTTCTTACAGCATAAAAATGTAGAATATTTTTCTTACAGCATATACATGTAGAATATTTCTTACAGCATATAAATGTAGAATATTTCTTACAGCATATAAATGTAGAATATTTCTTACAGCATATAAATGTAGAATATTTTTCTTACAGCATATACATGTAGAATATTTCTTTCTTACAGCATATACATGTAGAATATTTCTTACAGCATATAAATGTAGAATATTTCTTACAGCATATAAATGTAGAATATTTCTTACAGCATATAAATGTAGAATATTTCTTACAGCATGTACATGTAGAATATTTCTTACAGCATATACATGTAGAATATTTCTTAAAGCATATAAATGTAGAATATTTCTTACAGCATATACATGTAGAATATTTCTTACAGCATATAAATGTAGAATATTTCTTACAGCATATACATGTAGAATATTTCTTACAGCATATACATGTAGAATATTTCTTACAGCATGTACATGTAGAATATTTCTTACAGCATATACATGTAGAATATTTCTTAAAGCATATAAATGTAGAATATTTCTTACAGCATATACATGTAGAATATTTCTTACAGCATATAAATGTAGAATATTTCTTACAGCATATACATGGTAGAATATTTCTTACAGCATATACATGTAGAATATTTCTTACAGCATATACATGTAGAATATTTCTTACAGCATATAAATGTAGAATATTTCTTACAGCATATACATGTAGAATATTTCTTACAGCATATACATGTAGAATATTTCTTACAGCATATAAATGTAGAATATTTCTTACAGCATGTACATGTAGAATATTTCTTACAGCATATAAATGTAGAATATTTCTTACAGCATATAAATGTAGAATATTTCTTACAGCATATACATGTAGAATATTTCTTACAGCATATACATGTAGAATATTTCTTACAGCATATAAATGTAGAATATTTCTTACAGCATATAAATGTAGAATATTTCTTACAGCATATAAATGTAGAATATTTCTTACAGCATATAAATGTAGAATATTTCTTACAGCATATAAATGTAGAATATTTCTTACAGCATATAAATGTAGAATATTTCTTACAGCATGTACATGTAGAATATTTCTTACAGCATATAAATGTAGAATATTTCTTACAGCATATAAATGTAGAATATTTCTTACAGCATATAAATGTAGAATATTTCTTACAGCATGTACATGTAGAATATTTCTTACAGCATATAAATGTAGAATATTTCTTACAGCATATAAATGTAGAATATTTTTCTTACAGCATATACATGTAGAATATTTCTTACAGCATATACATGTAGAATATTTCTTACAGCATATAAATGTAGAATTTTTCTTACAGCATATACATGTAGAATATTTCTTACAGCATATAAATGTAGAATATTTCTTACAGCATATACATGTAGAATATTTCTTACAGCATATACATGTAGAATATTTCTTACAGCATATACATGTAGAATATTTCTTACAGCATATACATGTAGAATATTTCTTACAGCATATACATGTAGAATATTTCTTACAGCATATACATGTAGAATATTTCTTACAGCATATACATGTAGAATATTTCTTACAGCATGTACATGTAGAATATTTCTTAAAGCATATAAATGTAGAATATTTACAACAGTATAATTGTATATAAATGTAAAATATTTCTTAAAAGATATTTCAAACAGCAGTAAAATATAGAATATTTCTGACATATAAATTTAGAATATTTTTATTTAAATGTAGAATATTTCTAACAACATATAAATTTAGTATATTCTTCCAGCATATGGCTTCTATGTGGTAGAGCACCCTGGTTTAGACTATGATTCCCCACTAAACTATAATACACTACCAGTTGTCTGTGTGGAAAATAAAGTTACTTCAACAGCTACTTACACAGCAAATATACAAGTTGGATTAACAAAGAGTCGACCTCCAGTCATTACAAATCTTTATGGTAAATAATGAAATTCTCTTACTTAATTAAAAGCTAAAATAGTATATGAACAACCTAACTTTTACCTCGACTATTCGAAGAATATGAGAGCTATTGTAGTCGCCCCGGCGTCGGCGTCAGCGTCCACGTCGGCGTCTGCGTTGGTTAAAGTTTTTTGTAAAGTCAAATATCTCAATTATTGCTTGAGATATTCAGTTGAAACTTACAATACTTATTTATAGTAACAATGTACATCACATTGACAAGTTGGATAACTCTGCCTACAATATTTGCAGAATTATGCCCCTTTTTAACTTAGAGATTTTGGTTAAAGTTTTTTGTAAAGTCAAATATCTCAATTATTGCTTGAGATATTCAGTTGAAACTTACAATACTTATTTATAGTAACAATGTACATCACATTGACAAGTTGGTATCTCTGCCTACAATATTTGCAGAATTATGCCCCTTTTTAACATAGAGATTTTTGTTAAAGTTTTTTGTAAAGTCAAATATCTCAATTATTGCTTGAGATGTTCAATTGAAATTTACAATACTTATTTATAGTAACAAGGTACATCAGATTGACAAGTTGGATAACTCTGCCTACAATATTGACAGAATTATGCCCCTTTTTAACATAGAATTTTTGGTTAAAGTTTTTTGTTAAGTCAAATATCTCAATTATTGCTTGAGATATTCAATTGAAATTTACAATACTTTTGATAGTAACAATGTACATCAGTTTGCAAAATTGCATAACTCTGCCTGCAATATTTGCAGAATTATTTGCTCCTTTGAAACTTAGAAATTTTGGTTAAAGGTTAAAGGTCTTCAAAGATATTTACATGAAACTTTACACATGAACTTAGGGTCATAATTTGAGGGTCATAATTGTATGTCACTGACCAAGTTCCATAACTCTATCTTGCATTAAGGCTGATTCATATCCCCTATTCTACTTAGTCTCTTAGGTTAATGTTTACATGCAAGTTTTACATATCTCAATAACTATTAAAGATACTTATTTAAAACTTCATATATGCATTTAGGGTCATAATTGTAGGTCACTGACAAAGATCCATTATTCTATCTTGCATTTAGGCTGATTTTTCTCCCTTTTTTCAACTTAGAAATTTATGGTAAAGTTTTGCTTGTAAGCTGTTATCTCCATAACTACTGAAGGGTTTGTGCCTTTTTGGGGACAATTTTATGCATTCATAATAATAAAGCAGTGATTTACTTGATAAAACATCTTAATAAAAAGCCTTTGTACCTTTTCTGTCAATATTATGTATTCATAGGTAATTAGTATTATTATACTCAATAAAACACCCTTGTAACATTACCTTCCTAATAGTCAAGCCAATACTGCATAATAAGACTCTCTTCAAGGCTTATTACATGAATTTATAAAAAAAATTAGACCTTTTGGGAACTTAGAAAATTTAACATTATCATGGCTCTTTTACTATCAAGCACTTAGAATAGTCGAGCGTGCTGTCCTACCGACAGCTCTTGTTTTAGTCAATATTATCAAAATTATATTCATATTGTATTAAAGAGATGCACTTTCGCTTGTTCCTTTGTTTCTTTCTTCGTCCCTTCCTTCCTTCATCCTTTCTTTCGTTTCTTTCTTCTTTTGTCCCTTCCTTCCTTTGTACTTTCCTTCCTTTCCTCATATGTTCCTTCTTTTGTATGTTCCTTTCTTTGTACCTTCCTTTGTACCTTCATTCTTCCCTCCCTCCCTCTATTCATTCATTCACTTCATTCATTCATTCATTCATTCATTCAATCATTCATTCATTCATTCATTCATTCACTAACTAACTAATTTTTTTAAATTTATTTAATGATTTTACAGCTTCTGTTACTGTAAATGCTGAGACAGCATTTATCGGAGACTCGGTGTTTGTCGTCACGGCAACAGATCCAGAGAATGAAGTGATCACCTTCACTATGAGTTGTACCTCTGATGGCTCTGTAGACACCACAACATTTAGAATGCTAAAAAGTGAGCTATTTGTACACTTTATCTCACACTGAATTAATTTTGTTATTTACTTTTTGATATTAAGCAACAACTTGATTAAAGTGCCTTTCAATTTTTATTATCTGTTGAAAAAATATATGTGTTTTGTTACAAATTAAGTATTTCAGTAATTTTATCTTGCAAAAGTGTATCATATTACTGTTCACCCTGCTTCAAAACAGCGTCACGATAGCGATTCATTATGCGTGACCATGACAAAACAAATCGTCCACTTAACTAAAGTAAAATGTAGAAAGTGGACTGGTAGAGTAGTGCTATCAAGGGTTTTCCTTATTGTTAATGTATTCTATGGTCTGCAAACTTCATTTTTCACCTTAATTCTGTCGATTTGACAATTATATGAAACGATTTATAACATATTTAACTTTTAGAAATCCAGCTAGCTTACGGAATGTCGGTGGTTCTACTCAGGTGCCCATTCGTGCCTGAAATAATGCACGGAAGGGCACCTGAGGTCTTCCTCCACCATTAAAGCTGGAACGTCGCGATATGACCTATACTGTGTCGATGTGACGTAAAACCCAAAACAAACAAACAAACAAACTTTTAGAAGGCCGCTTTAAGACAATAGGGTTATTATAAGAGTATATTTATCTGGAACAATGCATTTGACTCTTGGCAAGGATGATATTAGTTATAGAAGGAATGTATGTGGCCGTTCTAGTAAAATCCATTTTTGTTGCTGGAATACTTAATGATCAAATTTTTTATATTCTTCTAGATGGTGATGTTGTGCTGAAAAGATTTGTAACATTATCCACGCTACACCAGTTTGACTGCGCTGTGACTGTTACAGATGCTAGCGAGGATTCAACCACAAACTATCTTCATATCTCTATCCTTGGTGAGATAATTTTTCATATTACTATTAGTTTGTTTTTTTTGCATAAATTGGCCTCTTTTTGGTAATTTTCATAGATTGTAAGTGCCATTTGTGATTAGTAATTTACTTTCTTTGTTCATCTCAAAATATGTTACTTTTAAATACATTTTCATAAATGTTATGAAAATTAAAATGAATCTTGAAGCATGCTGCTTAGCCGCATTTTGTTGTTTGGTTTTCTGGTTTTTACTCTGATTTTATCACATTTTTAATGATAGTCATCTCTAAATGGTCAATCCATCTAATTATCTTTCCTGGATTACCATTTCTTTGCAAGTGACGGGACTTCCAATCTCATATGATTTCTGAATCTGAACTAGGAAAATTGGGTCCTTACACGTGTGTACGTGTACGTGTTCCTTATATGCGAGTGTGTGCTATATCTGAATTTGCTATAAGTGATAACCACGGTATTTATTGGTGAAAAGTTTCACTAAATTATCTAGTCAGTTTCATAAAATTAACTACATTGGTATCATATAAACAAGTTAGTTTTTTTATTGTGACAGCTATCCTACCAAAGAATTTGTGTGGTGTTTTTGAAGTTTTGTAAAAATGTGCTTGCAACTCTTTAATTAGCTGGATGCCACCAGAAGAGCCCAAAATTGTTCAAGAAAAACCCATGAAAAATGTACTAAGATTTAAAGTTACATTAATAAATATGTAAAAATATTTTGCCGTCGGCCTAACAAACAAGCATTATACAGTTTCATAAACCTTTTTAACAGTTATGTTGTAAATCTCATCAAATACTGTTCTTAAATTAGGATTTTAAACGGAAAACCCCACGGTAACACTAAAGTTCGTATACGAATTTTAACATGCAAATGAAGACAATAATCAGCTCGTGTATGCGCTACGTCACATTGTTATAGTTGTTATCCGGAACACAGCAAATATGAGATTTTCTTGTGCAAACACACTTTAACCGTTTTAGCTTCACGGTGCACTAGGCCTGTGGTTTAGAAAAAAGTAATCATCTCATAAAAAGGATTAAATTTGTATGAAAACATCCAGTACAATCCGGAAATATACCGTTAGATTAGAACTGCTGCACATAGTCATGTTTGTTGATTTAATATTGATGTACGGATGAACCGAGGACAGAGTTTCTCATGCAAACAGAAATAATTATTATTGTACTTCCGATTTCGCCGCAATGAGGTTGCCCATTTTTTATGCTTATAAAACTTATTTTGGTTGTCTTGACACCAAAATAAAATCTGGAGTCGATATGAAACCCAATTTATTAATAAAATGACGCCATTTCTGTTTTTATGAAATTTATTAAATGTAGCTTTAAAGAAAAGTAAATAGATACAAGCGTGAAGTAATAATTTACAGGTTATGTGTGATTAATGACTGATTTTGAAGTATTATCACCATATTTCTACTGCCTGATTAATGCAGTAAGGACTATTTTAAGTATTTCTCTTGTTGGTTATTTACGTGGATTGTAAGTGCGGTTTACAATGTATAAATTACTTTCTTTGTTCACTTTACAATATTTTACTTAGGAAATACATTTTCAATATTTTTATGAAAATAAGCGGGAATCTGGGGGCATGCTGATTTGATTGAAATTGAAATTTTGTATGTTACTTAAGTATACTTATAGCATAATGTTAATTGAAGTTCTGTTGATGAACGTATAATTTTCTATGATTTTTTTTACTGTAGATGCGGATCATGCTATAGTTATCAACAACTTGCCTGTACACCCTATACAGCTGAAAGAAAACACGGCTGTAGGAACTTTTCTGTATAAGTTTGAATACGCGGACACTGATCGAGGGACCTACGATACAAAATATTGGTCCTGTCTTTGTTTGATCAGGTGCGATTTCAGATGACAGATTGAAATAAAAATAAAGTTTTTTTTGGGTTTAATTGCCCCTTTAAAACTTGCCTGCAAAAACAGATTCTGCCATGTATTTAGTGAGCCCAAGATAGCTGCATCCCCTGGTCTGACGTGGTGGGCACTGTTTAAAATTTGATATTTTTTTTTTTAATTTTTTTTAAGTAAGACAGATTCAAAATTTAAAAAGGGTTTTGTCAAAGTTTGAAAAGTACATGCCCTTTAAATTTTAATTTTAATCTTCTTATAAAAGAAAAGATTGGTTTTTCTAAAAAAAATTTTATTTTAATCTGGGAAATCCCCCATTGGTAAAATGTTTAGCACATTTACCATTTTTATTAAATTTTTAAATTGAGTTGTTAGTTTTTCAAAAGTTTGGCAGAAATTAAGGGTATTGCCCAAATTTTTTGATTAAAAAATTTGTGTAATACAACATAAAAACTACCGAAATTATAAAAAAAAACTGCCCCACTCTTTTTAAGAATTTAGTGAAACAGATACATTCTGAATGAATAGAAATGTTCATTGGTTTTGTGGATTACTGATTATTTTTTTATATTGGCAAGATTTCATGTTATTTTTTTTTTATCTAAATAATCTTCTCTCCTGCTCTCTTACCATTTAGATTTATCACAGATTTATGTAGTATAAATCCATGGATTTATTGAGGGCATAAAATGTCACTTTTAACAAAAAACCCATTGTTTTCAGCTGGAGTGCTCTCCCTTACCTATGCAGAAATTGATGCAGAAGATCCATTAGTAGGAGTAAACAAAAACTATGCTCTAAATATAACTGTTGGTGATGTAAAGAGTGCTGTATTTGGGGTAGTTATTATTCAGATAATAAACGAAAATGAGGCGCCATGGTTTACACATGATTATTTCACGATTGATACCATTGAAAATGAGGTAAGTCAAATTTTGTTATCAGTTTATGTACCCGTATTCTTATTTCTAAATTGTTTGTACATTAGAATTTCACCATTTTCAAGTCTAAATGTTGAATTCTGCTTAAGCCGGTGCTAGGGGGCATGGACAGTAACTGCCCACGAATCACCGGGGCTGGACATGTTGGGATGATAGAACACAAAAGTAAAAACTATAATAAAAAAAAAAAAATCACCACATAATAATGTATAACATACATGCATAGATACACAAAATATTATTGATTTAACACTTAACCTGCAGGTGGCAACACAACAAGTGCAGGCCAAGGCCAACATTTGGTTATTTCATTGCAAGGAAAAATAGAAGACTATATAAAATGAAAAAGTTTTCACATTCTGTTTGTCTTTCGAACTTGCCAGATCGATATGGTACATGTATTTTTGTTTTTGCCACCTAAATTGTAGGCATTATATTTCAAATTTCATACCAGGGTGATAACTTTAAGCCTCAAAAGTCTGGCTTTTGAAATTTTAGGACCGGGGGGTTATAAATTTCCTGTTTTTAATTTCAAAGAAAAAATTTTAAAAATTTCGGGATGGACTAGTAAATTGGAGTTTGTTTCTTTTGGATGATGATTTGAAAATGCCGCAAATACGTACGGGGCCCATTTCTTCTCCCGCTGTGAAAATGTCACAACAAAAAAGTTTCTTTTAAAAACCCCAATACGGAGAAATTTAAATATAAAGGAGACTCCCCTAGTATTGATGGACCCGAACAGGGGGAGTGTACATTGCCCGAAATTCGGTCTTCAGTCCCCGGGTTTAATTTCATTTTAAAACAAAATTAAATTTTCCTTTTTTTTGAACAGCTAAATATACGTATTTTGGGGGCAATGCACCAGTCGGAATTTTCTAGGGAAAGTTCGCATCGTAGATTCAATGGATTATGATAATGAAAAATTAAATATGAATTTAACGCTGGAGGGCAGAGTATTATGGCTATAGACAATGATGGCAGTATCTATTTGGTCACTAGTTTAGAACCTCACACAGGCTCATCATTCACACACTCTTTGAAGGCATCAAATGACGATAATTTAATTAAAGATGTTTCAATTAATTTGATCATTCCAGCGACAACAACTGTGGTTACAACAACAACTGACCGAAATAAAGGTACTGTGAATTCACTTTATTTAAAGAGCATGAAATTTTGTGGTTTTGTCAAAAATGTGTGTTCTTAAATTTGTAGTTGTCTGTTTATGCAAAAAAAAAGAAAATTGCAATAACTTGTTATATATAAAATAGTCTAGCAACAGAAGAAATGAAATTTCATTCAGTTTTAAATTTGTTGATTGACTTATCCATGAAAATGTTACAGTCAATGATATTTCACCTAAAACATGTATTAATAGTATATATGTATATTTATAATTATATAAACTCAATATTTTAGCATGATATTTCTTTGATCAAGATAACTTATTTAACATTGTTACTATGCTGGCACCAAAAACATATTTCCATAATATGCTATAAGCAAAAGAGAATTATATTTTGCCACCAAATCAGAGCCTGGTTTAAGAAAAATTTTGGCTGATATTCTTTAAATTTCACATTGATATCTCCAAAATTTATAATGAAACATTCCAATACAAAAACGGATGCTGGACAAGTCCATTAAAGAAATTCAGGGTATACAAGTTAAAGAAACATATTTCTTATTTTGTCAGATTTTTACGAGGATGAATGGAGTTACTACTGGTTATTTCTGGCGCTGTTTGGATGTCTGCTAATACTGATAGCTGTAGTGTTCGTTCTATTTCGCATCTGTAGATTAACACGCATCGGTCCATATTGTTACCACTGCTGCATGAAAGGGATATGTTGTCGACCACCTCCGTAAGTTTGTGTGACTGACCGATGGCCTAATTTAAACCAAATAAAGCATAAAATGTTTATTACACATAAAGTTAGCAGCTGAATGCAACTGTCATTATACTCAGTACTTCTTAAGCTGTCTGTTAGTTTTATTTATAACATAACATTTGATATTTTTTCCCCTTTTTTAACAAGGTAGTACCTCACTTGTGTCTATAGAAATGCACATAATGCAAGTCAAAAGTAGGGGCTTGGAGCTTTCTCTACTTGTAAAAAGCTGAGAGTTCACCTGAATATGACCAAAAACTTGCACATGATAATACCAAACAAATGAGAAACTAAAAGGTGTGATATTATCTCCTTTGCAAAACCTTGCCATCAAAAGATATTATTGTGTCGCCTTGAAAAAGGCGACATATAGGGGTTACTTTTGTTGTCGGTGTCGGCGTTGGCGTCCCCTTAAGCTTGTCCGGAGCATAAGTCAGTCATTATAAGTTTGATTGACTTCAAACTTCGTATGCATTCTTCTTATAATGACCCGAAGTGCAGTGCATAAGAACCGGTACTCTGCACTTCCTATTTTTTGAGTTATTGCCCTTTGTTAAATTTCATACTTCATTTTTGTCCTGCCATTACTCCTAAAGTATAAAAGCTATGGACTTGAAACTTCATAAGATGACAGTTCTCATTAAGAAGAAGTGCAGTGCACAAGAACTGGTACTCTGCATTTCTTCTTTTTTGAGTTATTGCCCTTTGTTAATTTTCATACTTTATTTTTGTCCGGACCATTTCTCCTAAAGTATAAAAGCTATGGACTTGAAACTTCATAGGATGATAGATCTCATTAAGAAGAAGTGCAGTGCCCAAGAACTGGTACTCTGCATTTCTTCTTTTTTGAGTTATTGCCCTTTGTTAATTTTCATACTTTATTTTTGTCAGGGCCATTTCTCCTAAAGTAAAAAAGCTATGGACTTGAAACTTCATAGGATGATAGATCTCATTAAGAAGAAGTGCAGTGCCCAAGAACTGGTACTCTGCATTTCTTATTTTTTGACTTATTGTCCTTTGTTTATTTTCATCCTGATTATATGCAAAATCTTTTTACTTACACAGAAAATACACAATTAAGATCATATCAACAAAAACAACTTCAAATCCCAAAACCTAGACTGGAGTTCTGCAGAAAATCTTTATCATATTCAGGGTCAAAACTTTGGAATTCTCTTCCCTTAGATATCAGAAATTCCACAAATTTACAGTCGTTCAAAAATAATTATCTTAAATGGTGGTTCTCTGGTGGGAATAAAACACATCAATTTGTATTATAAAATGATAAATGTATATCTGAATTGCAATGTTTATATTCTTATATAATGTTTTTTCCCTAGATTTTCATTTTATTTGTTTCTTAACTACAATGTATTTGTAATTTTGTTGTTGTTTTATCATACCTTTTGTTTGTAAATGTTTATATTATGTACATTGTATATTTGATAGAGGCTCATAGGGAAGACTGGGCATGCCCAACTATGTTGCCTCTTTAAATAAAGTCTTTATTATTATTATTATTTTTGTCCAGGCCATTTCTCAATAATTATAAAAGCTTTAGATATGAAACTTTATAGGATGATAGATCTTATTGATAAGAAGTGCAGTGCACAGAAACTGCTGCTCTGCATTTCTTATTTTTTGAGTTATTGCCCTTTGTTGATTTTCAAATTTCATTTTTGTCCTGGCCATTTCTCCTAAACTACATTGTTCACAACTATTATAACATTTTTAAGAATTTTTTAACCTTAAAAAGTTTAAGGCAAAAATTGCATGTATTTATGACTGGACTAATGATTTGTATAGTATCTCAGGGTTGACCATACTGTACAAATTTATGTACAGACTTGCCTTAATACCTTGTACCACCAGGATTTTAGAAAAAATTTACAGTAAGAAAGTAAAAACATAATGCATGATATATATACATTGTACATATATAGATTATTTACAGGCCCGGAGTGAGAGGGTTCGGTGATAAAGGCTACGATTTGGCTACATTTGGACATAGGCACACATATGCTGATGAAGATGAAGAAATTGATGGTTGGCTTCAGACAGGAAAAGATAAGAAGTCAAAGGTAATTTCAAAAGGCTATCTCCTGCAATACAGTCCACTTGTTGTCATTAAACAAACCTTTAAATGTTTGATCAATGGAACAGTTATTGTATCTTATGTTTCTTATACACTGTATTTGACTCTGTAGCTTGCATCCCAGAACTAATCAGCAAATGGTCATTAGTCAAGTTTTTGTGCAAACCTCCTGTTCCTAGGTTTAAAGTGAGAGGTATGTTAACAACTGTGCAACATATGTATGTTAATCTTTTACAAGTTGGTGTCTTGGATTATCACCTGATGCAATGAAGTTCTTTCTCCACCAGCATAATGTCCACCAGTAGAGCTTGAATAAGTCACTGTATGACTAATACACTGTCTGAGTGTGACTTAAAATCCAACAAAACGAACAAACCTGGTCAGTTAAATTCTTTGCCAAAATAATAAAAGTTGCTTTTCTATAATAAAAATGTTGAGGTACATAATTATGGAAGATTGTTTTGGCAAATAGGTAGCCTCGTTAAATAAAGCCCTTATTATTATTATTAATATTATTAATATTATTATTATTACTATTATTACTATTATTATCATTATTATTACTATTATAATAATATTATTATTATTACTATTTTTATAAAAATGGAGAATATATTCATATGACAAATATTTCATCAGAAGGACTTATAAGAAGATGTCATGAAAGGTGTATTATTTTTGTTTGTGTTTATTACAGGCTCCAAAGACAGATGAACGGTATGGAACACCAAACAGTGGTTATGATTGGTCAACAGATGTGAGACCGGAACCAGTTTACGAGATGTTCCGAGTACCGTCAACTAGTACTATTCCGAAGGCAGCAAACTACCTTGATCCCCACACATCAACCAGAAATATGCCAAGGTAACTTAATGACATTATATAAGTTTTAGTATAAGGGTTTCAATTTGGGTGGGGCGATATTTCTGTAAATAATTATTGATCTTGGATAGGGGTGTCACATTTATTCGTTAAAATGAGTATGGTCGGTTTTTAGCTAAAAACCAGTTAGAAGGTATCAGAGCTTACTTTTTGAAAATTAGGCACAAAAGTTTTAAATTGATTCTAAATATTACTTAGTATTTTATAACAAGATATGACTATTTGTATTTATTTTAGTTGCACTCAACAATGTATTTTTCCCAACTGATCCAATAAGGTACGAGCCTAACGGAAGATAATTACATTGTACTTCATATTTGTACATATATTTAAATCCTTTTGAGTGCAACAAAATACAAACAAAATGGCATATCTTGTCATAAAAAATTAAAGTTAATGCTGAAAATCTAAAAAGTTTAATAGTACTGGCGATTAAACATTTAACACGATTATTAGGTTGCCGATTATACGGTTAGTATTTTGTATTACCCTTACACCCCTGATCTTGGACCTTGAGACAAATGGTCATTTTTCACTCATCACTGAACCACCTGAGATAAGTTGTCAGTCACTTGCAGATAAATGGGTAATTACTGCCCAATTAGTTATCCAGTAAAGCTGGTTCGATGGACTGACTGCCAGATACATGTATGACCAAAAATGTGGAAATACAGTGTAAAAACCAGACAAACAAACAATATTTTTTGGAAAAATTGTTTATTTTAGCTTGATTGTTATGAAAGCTTGACACTCGTTTGGCCACTTTGGGCAACTATTCAGTACTGGTAGCCAGTAAGGGTAATTTAGTTGATGGAACAACCCCTGAGCTGAAGACCAGAAACATAAACGACTAATTTAGCAGTGACCCCTTTTTGTCTATAAAATATATTTGCCAATGTAAAACAATATTTGTGATTGATTTATACAGTCTTCAACTGTTTGATTTATAGTCACCAATTTAAGAATCTCACTCACTAAATCAAATGGTCTTATGAGCTGTTTTCTTTACCTTACAAAAATAAAAGGGCATAAATAAATTTTTGTGGTTTTCAACCTAAAGATAAAATTAATGTGAAATTCAGTATAGTGTTGTGATGTCTGTATGTTTTATTTACTGTAAATATGTCTATGTTTTATACTTCAGAAGTCATTCCTGGAAGACAAAACCATGATGAAAAAGTATCTGACATTGGTGACATAGTTGAACATTATTACATGTATTTAAGACAATAACTCCTCCAGATAATTAAGAAAATTTATATTCTATATATTATTAAATTTGCAAAATAATGTGTATGATAAATTGGCATCATTTATGTTGAAGATAAGGTGTGTGTGGGAACAGAATCTTCATTTTTACTTTGATACCTTAAAATTCCTATTTAACGCCCCCGGGGGCTAAATGTTTTCCGGGGGGGGGGGAATATTATTACAACACAGTTTTTCCTAAATCCAAAATTCAATGTACCGGTAAGTACATTTAGTTTTAGCAAGTGTTGGTAATAACATTAAAAAGTGTTATGGTTTTAAAATTTATATGATACATTTTTGTGTTTACTATAAGATAAAATTGGTGCTCAAAGATTTGAATAAAATTATGGAATTACTCCAGCATATGAGTAGATTTTTGCCAGATCAAAAAGCCTAGGGTGGGGGGGGCTTTATTAGAAAAGGGGCTTGTAATAGGAAATTTACGATAGTTATGTTCTAATTGGCATATTTGTTGATTAAAATATTATTTTTTCTCTTAAAGTGTTTAGAAGTAAACTGACAGTAATGACTAGAAAGTTGAATCACTTTTGTTGCGCAGCAATGGTATAGCTGTTAAATTAAAAGCCTGACATCATCTCCTTTACGTGTGTCTTTTTTCCCAAACAGTCAAAAATTGCTGTTATTATACTTATTACGCATAAAATAATATAACTATTTGTTCAGTTTTTTCATGTTTATGCTATATTTATATCACACATTGAAGTGAGAAAATATCTATATTTTCTTTCGTGCTGAAATATTGCAATTTTCTCACTTTGCAATGTGATGTATAGCATATTCACTCATAACAAACAAATATCATTTACCTATATACATGTATGTACTAGTGTACACACTTTGTTCATTGTTATCCTTATGATCCAGGAATACATGTAGGCATGTCTTTCGATGAAGCTATTTTCATCTTTGTTGTGAAACCTTCCTTTTTAAAACCTAAACTGTATGTTTTAAGTTATGATTCTGAAAAAAATGTCATATCCAGTTTGAAGTCTGTGATATATATTTTATAATTCGTTTTCATGATTATTCTTTGTTTGAGTTACTTTATTTGAGTAATAAAAGTTACTGTTTTTGTCATTTTTTTCTTGTTAATCACGAGATTTATCAATTTCAATGCATGTGAACCTTTGGGGGAAGCATCAAAAACAGTTTATAAATACATGTACCTGGGAACCATGGGGGAAAATAATTTTTTACACTGGGGAAGCATTATAATCAGTTGTAGTGCAAAGGGAACCTTTGGTAGGTATCTAATCAATTTAGATAAAAGGGAACCTCTATGGGAAGCATTGTGATCAGTTTCAATACTATGGAACCTATATGGGAAGCATTGTGATAAGTTTTAATACCAGGGAACCTCTATGGGAAGCATTGTGATCAGTTTTAATACTACGGAACCTATATGGGAAGCATTGTGATCAGCTTGAATACTACGGAACCTCTATGGGAAGCATTGTGATCAGTTTTAATACTACGGAACCTATATGGGAATCATTGTGATCAGTTTTAATACTACAGAACCTATATTGGAAGCATTGTGATCAGTTTTAATACCAGGGAACCTCTATGGGAAGCATTGTGATCAGTTTTAATACTACGGAACCTATATGGAAGCATTGTGATCAGTTTTAATACTACAGAACCTATATTGGAAGCATTGTGATCAGTTTTAATACCAGGGAACCTCTATGGGAAGCATTGTGATCAGTTTTAATACTACGGAACCTATATGGGAAGCATTGTGATCAGTTTGAATACTACGGAACCTCTATGGGAAGCATTGTGATCAGTTTTAATACTACGGAACCTCTATGGGAAGCAATGTGATCAGTTTGAATGCTAGGGAACCTTTACAGGAAGCATTGTGATCAGTTTTAATACCAGGAAACCTTTATGGGAAGCATTGTAATCAGTTTTAATACCGGCAAACCTTAATGGGAAGCATTGTGATCAGTTTGAATACTAGGGAACCTTTACAGGAAGCATTGTGATCAGTTTTGATACCAGGGAACCTCTATGGGAAGCATTTTGATCAGTTTTAATACTAGAGAACCTCTATGGGAAGCATTGTGATCAGTTTAATACCAAGGGAACCTCTATGGGAAGCATTGTGATCAGTTTTAATACTACAGAACCTCTATGGGAAGCATTGTGATCAGTTTTAATACCTGGAAACCTTAATGGGTAACATTGTGATCAGTTTAAATACTAGAGAACCTCTTTGGGAAGCATTGTGATCAGATGGGAAGCATTGTGATCAGTTTGAATACTAGAGAACCTCTATGGGAAGCATTGTGATCAGTTTGAATACTAGGGAACCTTTACAGAAAGCATTGCGATCAGTTTGAATACAAGGGAACCTTTACAGGAAGCATTGCTATCAGTTTTAATACCAGGAAACCTTAATGGGAAGCATTGTGATCAGTTGTAAAGCGCCAGATTCATGCTAATTTTCATGAAAATTTTGAAAATGTGTTTAAAAGTATTATTTAGTGAAATAACCAAAAGGAAGCAATTTACACGATATCAATGGCACTTACAACCCACGTAAATTACTAAAAAGAGGACAAAATATGCAAAAATATCCCTTACTGCGTTAGTAACGCAGTAGAAATATAGATATAAATACTGAAAAATCGGTCATTAATCGCACATAATATGTAAATTATTACAAAAACTTTGAATCTTTACACTTCTCCTAAAATCTTAGTACATTTTTCTCAGGTTTATTGAAATATTTTCGCTCATCTGGAAGCGTGCAGCTTTAATACTAGAGAACCTCTATAGGAAGCATTGTGATTAGTTTCAATACCAGGAAACCTCTATGGGAAACATTGTGATTAGTTTCAATACCAGGAAACCTCTATGGGAAACATTGTGATTAGTTTCAATACCAGGAAACCTCTATGGGAAACATTGTGATTAGTTTCAATACCAGGAAACCTCTATGGGAAACATTGTGATTAGTTTCAATACCAGGAAACCTCTATGGGAAACATTGTGATCATTTTTAATATAAGCAAAACAGAAATACAAGTTTATTTGACCAATAATTTATTCAATAAAACTAACAATCATATCAACAAATGAAACTTATGTTCACAACAAAAAAAACATACAACTTCATGTACATGGAAATCTCATAAATATTTGAAACACAAATTTTCACAATGCTAAACATTTGATATAATCTCTTAAATGTTTATGCCAAGATTTAAATTGATTTCTTCTCCCTAAATCTACAAAATTCATATGGAAAAAAAAATAAAAGTTGGTCATCATCAAGTTGAATATTCTGATAGACAGAAATGATAATCAAAAGTACCATGAATGCACCACTTTTCTCATAGTACTTTTGATCTTAATTGGAAAACAAAACTTTAGGAGAAAAAAAGTTATGTCCCTTGAAAAAGGCCTTGATGTCCTTAAATACAAAAGCAAACAAAATTATTAAAATGTCCTAAAGAAAATTTCAAAAGAGGAAAATAAACTTCTGTAACTATGCAAATGCCTTTTTTTTTCTGTTTAAAAGATTTTTTAGGGAAAAAAATAAATATCTATAAAAACTTTTAAATTTTGGTTAATCAAGGACATAAAACTACTTAAAGCAGCAAAAAAATGTTTCTTTTATTTTCAGATTTAAATTATATATATGTTTACAAATGTTAATATATAAATATATTCCCTATTTAACTTTCATTGTGGTCAAAAACCACATTATTATTATGCTTAGAGCAAAGTACATCCAGGTTAAACTCCTGAACACTTCAGTTGAAGAAAGCAATGAAAATTTAATTATGCCCAAAGATATTCCATTTCATATTAATTACCAATTACCACTTCCTTAATATATGTATACTATATTTCAAGGTTAAAGACACATGCCACAGAAACAGATAATTTTTTTTTCCATAATGATAAATGGCAAATGTGCTTAATGTATATTTGTCATAAAAGTAGCGAAATGTAAAAAAAGTAGTATTTTGACTTCCATACAAATTACTAAATTTTTTACAACTGTAATAAACTATACAATGAAGATATCCTTGATCAATTAGATTTTGAATAATTGAGCGAACACTTTACTTATGAGTATTAAATGAATTGTAACATAAAAGTTATGTATTTTTCAACCTTAAGGCAATTATAATAAATGCAAAACCCTCAATCTGCTAAATTTCTACATATATAGAGACCTATCTAGCTTGTATTAAAATTTTGAATTTTGGGGAAATCAAGGTATAAATTTTAAGATTAGTCAGCCAACAATATACAGCCTGGTCAGACTGTATGAATGTGCAGCCTGGCCTGGCTCTATACTGCTTATAACAGGTTATCATTTGGTTACAGCAGGTTATTTTGTTTGTTTTGGGTTTTATGTCACATCGACACAGTATAGGTCATATCGCGACGTTCCAGCTTTATTGGTGGAGGAAGACCTCAGGTGCCCTTCCATGCATTATTTCAGGCACCTGAGTAGAACCACCGACGTTCCGTAAGCTAGCTGGATAGCTTCCTCACATGAAAGAATCCAAAGTCTCTGTCGGGATTACAACCCACAGTGGTAAGGGGCAAGTGGTTTGAAGTCAACGACCTTAAACACTCTGCCACGGATGCCCCACCCAGCAGGTTAAAAAAGTATTAAATGTGACATGTACATTATCTTTTTTTTACTGCACTACTTTCTGAAACCCACTGACATACAATGAGTGACTTATAGTCGAAGACTTAGATTATATCTCACAGAAAAAGCCCAGAATTTCACAATTAGTCAATTATTAATTTAATTATTTTCAGTATTTCACTAATAAGCAATAATTATATCTAATATTTCACTAAATGAATAAAATAATTACTATTTCATTAATTACTGTGTAATTAAATCTTGTATTTTCCTATAATTAGCAAAATTAAAATGATATGTACCCTCTTAAATTATTTATGACATCACCCTCTTACATAATTTATGACATCATCAATCCCAGCATGCAATACAATGAAAAAAGATATGGCAGGCTAAAAAAATCTTGACTAGATTTGTCCTCATGATAAACTTTCTTATCAAACTACGATCATTCTTGCACCAATATTTATCACTATAATAAAGTTGTTATTAGTTATTTAAAGGAACTCCACTGAAGTACAAGTCTAAAAACATAAAAATTTGAAATATATAGACCAACTTGTTCACTGTAACTGGAAAACTATGCAAATGATCATAAAACTTTGTTTTTAGGATGCAATTTCAGGCTGTATTTGAGCAAAAAAAAATTTTTTTTCAATTTTGGCTTATATTGCATAATTAAAATGATTATAATACAAAAACAGAGTGAGCAAATAATGTGAAATTTTGAACACATATAATTGGTCTATACCTTATGTTAGGTAATACATGTACATAAATGTTAAGAAAAAAAACCCCAGTTCCAACTCCTTCATGTCAAAAACTTTGGTGGAATCCCTTTAAATTGCAATACAAGGTGTGTTGTTATCTTTAATGGCACATTTTGCCTCAGAAATCCATATTTTTTCCCAATTCTTTAAAAATGCGAAACATGTGTTGAATAATGTTTAAATAATGGATTTAGTGCATGTTAGATGTTTAACATCTGAAAAAAGTTGCGCTGAACATGCATGTAGTTATGTGTCGTAAAAAAAGCAAAATGTAGTATACAAAATACTAATTTACTATCATTACACTAATTACCAACAGAGCTAAAGATGCAAAAGATAGTTCATGTATATGGCAAATGATTATGCTTTTTGAATCTGTAACAAGATACCAAAAATAAACAGTTTTTGAGAAATAAAAATGACAGCATTTCTGAGACATAGTGGGCCTTTAATTGTAATCCTAAATATTTACAACATATTAGTTAGTACAACCAAATATTAATTAATTGTTGGAAGTGGGGATTTTTTTAATTTTTCAAACTTATTCCTAAATATTGTAATATAACTGAACATAAAGACAACTTTAATTTTCATAAAAACAATGTTTTTCTGTCACTTATGCATGGAATATTTGTTTGTTTGGTTTACATAGCTGCTACACAATATAGGCCATATACTGACTTTCCAGCTTTACTGGTGGAGGAAGACCTCAGGTGCCCTTCTGTACATTATTTCAGGCACAAACAGGCACAAGCATGGAAAATCTATTCTTGATATATTCCAAATAATTTGAATATCTTACATATATTGACATTTATTTTAATACAATTTAGTACAAATATGCAGTTAGTATCAAATCATTTCTTAAAAAGTTCTATAATATAAACAAAATTGAAATGATTTAAAACAAAATGCAAAAAGCAACTTGTAATGAGGCACAACCTGAAAACAAAGCCTACATTTAGTATTTCACAACTGATCTGTGAAGACAGGTTGCACTGTATTCTTTATCATAATTTACCATGTCTGTTTAATACAGAGTTTACTGTATTTATTAATTCAAGTTCAAGTAATAATTAAATGTAATCATATCAGACTCAAAGTCTATAAAACAGAGACAGAAATTCAGACTCAACCCAAAACTTTTTAATTAGTCAATTTCAAATTGTGGGTAATGTGTAACAATTAAATGGTTAAACAATATATGAGTAGAAGAGTTTCTAATAAAGTTTTACCCTTTCAATTCAATCCTTTATTCTAATTTGATTGTACCTACATAGTGTGTATATATGTTTGAAATAAGATATAGTTTAAAGCAGGCCTCTAAATTTTCATGTGAAATTTGATAATGTGTTAGAAAGTAAAATATTGTGATGTGAACAAAGAAAATAATTTTCACATTGGAAGCAGCATTTACAATCCATGTCAGTTAGCAAAGAGAGGTCAAAATATGCAAAAATAACCCTTACTGGGTTAGTAACCCAGCAGAAATATGGTGAAAAATACTGTAAAATCAGTCATTCCTTGCAGATTACATGGAAATTATTACTTTTATCTTGTTTTTTTAACCTTTTTTCGGATCTCAGTACGTTTTCTCAAATTTGATTTCCTTAAAATATTTTGGTTCATCTGGAGGTATGCAGCTTTAAACTAAATGGTTCAATTTCTCCAAACCCTAAACTAACAAAAGATATACATGTATATAACCATTCATTTTATATTAATGAGTATTTTCTCAAGTGTATATTCGGGACTTTATTTAAATATCATAATTTTAACTTTTAAATTGTAGATATTAAAAATGACTTGCCTTGGAATGATAATTTGCCTTCACAATCAATAAAGAGTCTAGCCACAGTTGGCTTCTTACTTTAATGAAAATTTGATACTGTAATCCCTAATTCATTGACCAATAAGTCCATTTAACAAAAATTTAGTAGCTATGATAGTTTCCTACTGGAAACATAGATTTGCCAAACATATTGTTTTTCAATCAAGTAAACAAAAAATACATTACAAACATCAAAAAGAGATCACAATTTACAAATCAGTATTATATTTATCATACAAATCTAAGTATATTAACTGTTTCTTCAAAAGCTGAGACAAAGCAACAAGAACAATATAAAAAAAACAGATTTCCTTCTCATTTGGGTACCCACAACCTGTATTGATCTCATAACAACCTTTATTGTTCTGGTTTTTAGGAAGAAGTGTCCTCATTCTTGAACCTTATTTTTAATAGTAAACAGTGAACCAATCAGGATTAATCAATTGTACAGAGTCGAAAATCTTAAACGTCTGCTAAGACCCTGTTTGCTATACCACTATCTGTATGTATTTGTATTCTGTAGGTATTTGTATAGTTGAAATAATTTATTTTTTCCAAAGAACATATAAACCTTGCAGGCTTTTAAGCATCTGCACTTATTAGTTGGTGTCGAAAATCTTGAATATGTTTAGTGAACAATCTTTGACTTATAAGATTCTCTGGCAGTAATATTGTCAGAGTGTCGAAATTGGATTTGTTAAAAGCACCACTTTAACCGCGCAGACTCTCCAGCATCTGTATGTATTGGTTGAGTGAGTCTCGCACATCGTACCTGCCATGAAGGTCGAGCATGCTAACTCCGCCGGCATTATAACAGTCTATGATACGAAGATCTTTAAACGATTTAACAGCACTCTTCAATGTCTCCAGGGCCGCACTTTCACCTGTTAATAATGATTTATATTACAAAATTATACAGTAATAACATCAGCAAAGAATAAACACTTTTAGTATATACAATGTTTGTAATTAATCTGATTACGTATTGACTGCTTCCTGTAGTTTTTCAAAAAATGTAAAAGTGTGACCTCTCTATAAGAAAAAGTAGGAGAATCTATTTTAAGTCTCAAAGACCTTGACCTTTACTTTGAAAAAGACCAATTACCACTCCAACCCCTTTCTTAAATTAGAACATTACTACATCAAATTTAAAAATGTTAAAAAACAAAATGCCTGCCTAGAAAACAGCAAACTGTAGAATGTATTTTTATTTGAGAGCAAGAATCAAAATGTAACACAACATTTGACAGAGTGATATATATCTGAACAGTAATATTTAACCATTAAACTATAACATTCATATAAAATTCAAGGAGATTTCAAAGACTTTTTTCCTTGACAAATTCAAGGAGTTTTCAAGGACTAACCACCAAATTCAAGGACTTTTCATGCCCTGCACAAATCCTGTTATAGACTGCAATTTAAAAACATCTTATTTTCTATTGAATGTTTTATGGAAATGTATATGCACAATTTAGACAGTGGAACATGAACAAATATTACTTGCTATGATATAATAATCATAACTCGCAAAAAAACAAAAACAAACAACAACACAACACTTCATGACATTATTGCATTATTGTGTAAACTTACCATAGCTTGCCACTCCATCAGTAACTCTTGTTTTAGCATGATTGTGTAAATTCTTCATAAAATCTCCTTCTACAATAATTGAAGGTAAAAAAGTGTTAAAACAGTTCTATAAACCAACATAAATATAAACTTAAAAACAGTCACCATTTAAAATGATGACACAATGTTTTTGAAATATCAAAATTTTCTGTCTCTTAAGAGAATTTTTGAAATATAAAATGTTTCTGTCTTTGAATTTTCAACCTTAAGCTAATGAATTTATATAAGATATTTATTTATTGATTTGGAACTACATCAATTATTTGTATAAGAGATTTTGATATAAAATTATCTACAATGTGCAACAAGTAATACAGCCTGAGCCATTGGTTAGACCAAATAAATACAATAGACTGACTTATTCTATACTGTTGACATATTAAAAATTTGAGCTGTGTCATGACAAACCAACATAGTGGGTTTGCGACCAGCATGGATCCAGACCAGCCAGCGCAGTCTGATCAGGATCCATGCTGTTCGCTATCAGTTTCTGTACTTGTAATAGGGTTTGTAAGCGAACAGCAAGGGTCCTGATCAGACTGCACGGATACACAGGCTGGTCTGGAGCCATGCTGGTCGCATACGCACTATATTGGTTTTGTCGTGACACTGCTCATATTATTTGTTCTTTGATGGGTTTTGAACCACACCAACAGATTGAGATCATAAGGAAACTTCCTTGTTTTCCTGGTTAAGTAAGACCTCAAATGCCTCTCCGTGCCTTTTTTTTTTTTTTAGCAGAAGCAGGCACCCTGTGTAGAACCGCCAACTTTGAGTCTGTTTAGTGTTAGTTGCATAGCTTCCTTACATGAAAGAATCATAAGTCCCTAGTAGGATTATTTAGTAAAGCAGTAAGGATCAATTAATGGCTGACATAGGCTGTGCTCAAGGTGGTACAGCATAGTTTATTCAGTAAAAGAAGAGTTAAGGTCTATTTTTGTCATTCTGCAAAATGTGCTTAAGGTAGTCTTACTGTAGTGCTTTCCCACCAAAAAAATTCCAACATCTGCCAATATTGTAGCAAATCGGATATTTCCGGAACGTTATTTTTTTCAAAATCTTGAGCATTAGATCATTAAAATCACTCATTTTTTATCGCTACGTTATAAACAATTAAAAATTATTGAATACCTAAGATTGTGAAAGATAATGCTCGGGCATTGACCAGATTTATTACAATATTGGCCAATGTTAAGATTTTTTTTGGCTGGAAAGCTTTGCAATAAGGCATCCTTACATGTAGGTTTTTTGCACATTTTTCAGGTTAAAAAAAAAAAGTATAATTGCAAAATTGCCACTAACCTGTCATATCTTCTTCCGTCATTGAGCTTATATTGTGACCAGTGATGAGGTAAGCCTCGAAAAATGGAGCCAATATCGAGTGGAAAAATTTCAGCTTTCCTTTACAATCTTCATGCTCTAAGTTTACCTATTAAGTAAAACATTTAGTGCTGTCATGCCTATGATTATATTCTTTATGTAATTTCATTTCTTACAGGATGACATTTGTATCAACTGGACGTTATATAATTATACATAACAAAACTTCTTGATCTATGTCAGTGGTCCCACCATCATGTATTTTCAACTATCATGTTTTTAACAAATGAGCCGCGTCATGACAAAACCAACATAGTGCGTTTTGCTGTTCCCTATCAGTTTCTCTATTTGTAATAGGGTTAGTAAGCGAACAGCATGGATCCTGATCAGACTGCGCGGACGTGCTGGCTGGTCTGGATCCATGCTGGTCACAAACCCATTATGTTGGTTTTGTCATGGCACGGCTCAAATTGTGATTACTTATTGCTTTGTTTACTACAAGAACGTAATGCATTTCATCATGTTATGTTTTAATTGAAATAAACATAACATTAAACAAGAGGGCCATGATGGCCCTGAGGTCGCTCACCTGTATATAGCCCCCCCCATAAGAAGATGTTTCATGCTAAACATCTAAGCTCTAGCTCATTGGGCTTTTTAAAAGAAGATATTTTAAGTTTTTACTTATAATACACATATACATGACACCCCTGGGGTGGGGCCAGTTTTGACCCCAGGGCTTTTATTTGAACAAACTTTGAAGACACTTGCTAGAAGATGTTTCATGCTTAATATCTAAACTCTAGCTATTTGGGTTTTTTCAAAGAAGATTTTAAGTTTTTGCTATACTATAAGGAAAATCAATGACCCCCGGGGCGGGGCCAATTTTGACCCCCAGGCTTTTTTTTGAACAAACTTTGTAGACACTCACTAGAAGATGTTTCATGCTTAATATCTAAACTCTAGCTATTTGGTTTTTTTCAAAGAAATTTTTTTAAAGTTTTTGCTATACACATATAAGGAAAATCAATGACCCCCTGGGAGGGGCCAATTTTGACCCCAGGGCTTTTATTTGAACAAACTTGGTAAACACCTATTAGAACATGTTTGATGCTAAATATCTTAGCTCTAGCTCTTTGAGTTCTTTAAAAGAAGATTTTTTAAGTTTTTACTATATGCATATAGGGAAAATCAATGACCCCCTGGGGCGGGGCCAATTTTAACCCCAGGGCTTTTATTTGAACAAACTTGGTAGACACTCATAAGAAGATGTTTCATCTTAAACATCTAAGCTCTAGCTCATTGGGCTTTTTTAAAGAAGATTTTTTTAAGTGTTTACTATACACATATAGTTAAAAACAATGACACCCCTGGGCGCGGGGCCAGTTTTGACCCCAGGGCTTTTATTTGAACAAACTTTGTAGACACTTACTAGAAGATGTTTCATGCTTAATATCTTAACTCTAGCTATTTGGGTTTCTTCAAAGAAGATTTTTTTAAGTTTTTGCTATACACATATAAGGAAAATCAATGACCCCCGGGGCGGGTCCAATTTTGACCCCAGGGCTTTTATTTGAACAAACTTGGTAGACACCTATTATAACATGTTTGATGCCAAATATCTTAGCTCTAGCTCTTTGAGTTCTTTAAAAGAAGATTTTTTAAGTTTTTACTATATGCATATAGGGAAAATCAATGACCCCCTGGGAGGGGCCAATTTTGACCCCAGGGCTTTTATTTGAACAAACTTGGTAGACACTCATTAGAACATATTTCATGCAAAATATCTTAGCTCTAGCTTTTTGGGTTCTTTAAAAGAAGATTTTTTAAGTTTTTACTATATGCATACTGGGAAAATCAATGACCCCCTGGGGCGGGGCCAATTTTGACCCCAGGGCTTTTATTTGAACAAACTTGGTAGACACTCACTAGAAGATGTTTCATGCCAAATATCTAAGCTCTAGCTCTTAGGGTTTTTTAAAAGAAGATATTTAAAGTTTTTTCTTTCGGTTGCCATGGCAACCAGAGTTCTGCATGGAATTAAATTCTTTGAACAATTTTTAAAGGTGACCACCAAAGGAACATTCCTGTGAAGTTTGGATGAAATTGGCCTAGTGGTTTATGAGGAGATGTCATTTAAAGTAAAAGTTTACGGCACGACGGACGCCGGACGGACGACGGACGGACGCCGGACGAAAAGCGATCACAAAAGCTCACCCTGTCACTTTGTGACAGGTGAGCTAAAATTTATGTCAAACCATGGAATATAAATAGGTGTGAAAATATAAATTACTAGCCGCTCCTGAAAAGCAACATAGTCAATTCAAAATTGGTACATTTTAAATTGCTGAAATATTGGAGAAATGCTGAAAACTTCATCTTAAAAACTTTCATACGATTGGTCGAATATCAGGAAATCTCAAAAAGAATGTAAGCTAATAACATTCAATGACTTCTTAAAATATATTTCAGCTTAGTGAGGTCATCGCTTACTCTAAGTCTAAATGCATTTTTAAAGTTCTAAAATATACAATTGAACTTCTTTGCATAAAAATATTTTGTTAAGCCTATTTTTCGCTAGTATAAGAATGTGACTAAGCTATACACAAACAATGATGTAAAAACAACAAGTAAATAATAACTTACTCGTAACATCTGTTCTGGTTGATAGTAATCTTCCTCATCATCATCGCCGTCTGCCCACGACAAACTGGCCGACAATCTTGTTGCCCACTGACGATCATGTACATTCTCATATGTATCATACTGCTGTAAACATTTTAATTTACTTGTATAAAAAAAACTATAAAATATGTAAAAATATTCTGACCAAAACAGCAAATATTAATGAAAACAACCATTTTTTTATGTTATTCTTTTAGTTGATACAGATTTATTTTAATTTGATCATGTTGGAAGCTATAAGGTTATTGAAATACTCTCGAATCAGTTCCTAGAACCAACCAGTACTAAGTAATGAAAATTATGTTTCTTGCTCAAGAGAACAATGGCTTGCCCCTGACAGAGTTTGAGCAAACTTTAGATTACTAGTCTGCTGTGTTAATCATTTGGCCATGTCGAAACTATAATAATATACAAGTATCATTCTTTTAATCTTTTAGTTTAATTATATGCAACATCTGCTATTCTAAGGTTATACAGCTTCTTTTCAAGACTTTCAAATGCAGGAAAAAAATCCAAAGCCCATCTTATTGATTATGTTAAGGATCATTTCTGTAAGATTTATTACAATCAGTTCTGTGATTGAGGGAGAAATGTAGGTTAAAGTTTATTGTCTATTCATAGCTATGGTGAACTCCCCTACTAGTAGTAGTCAGGGTATAAAAATATTACTTGCAATGTCATATAACACAAGCTACAGTGTCTTATAAATAATCACGTAGGTTTACTGCCTTTGTGATTATATCTCCGAGCGTCTGAACTCAAATTGTACATTTGGTTTTCAGAAGTTTCACACTGTACAAGATTATACAATACAACAACACACTCAAAATTGTTATTTATTCACAAATTGACACATAATTAGTGTAACAACTAAAACTAGCTTACATCTTGATGGTCATCAATCTTGAGAAGCTCGGACGTGACTAGAGAATCTAACGTATCAGCGAGTACCTCTTCTAACATTGTACATGGCTGTGAAATACATCATGCAAAATACAGCATCATTAAAGCTGCAGGCTCCCAGTTACAAATATATTATATATGTAATAATATAAAACACATTCAGGTGCTTCATGTGGACTTTTGGTACCTTAGGAAAGCATGAATTACTTTACTTGTTTACCAGAAAATAACTTTTATATTAAAAAATAATATATAAATTAAAAAAAATATGTATTCTCTAAATAAACATAAAAATTAGCTTGAATCATAAGGTATACTTTGAAGGAAAACTTTCCATTTTCTTATCAAAAAAGATTTGCAATGTAATTTTTCAAGAATGAACATTTATTGTTCTCAAAAAGTTTATCTTACCGGTACAGCAATAAACTCATATTCCAGCAGGGTAGACAACTGGACAGCTGTTTCTAGGATTTCCTCCCTTGACATAAGAATTATCTCCCCTGGTGTTGATGTTTCCAGGGTTGTGAGACTGATGTCACTTAGATATATCACAGAACTTACTGTAATATAAAACACGAAAATTAACCCTGACCATGCCTAAATTTGCATAATGGACTGATCCTTCTGTGAAAATGGAATAGCTCATTATTAATATTAGGGAGTTTCATATAAATATTCTATAAAAAACATGCAATGCATAGATCCCTGACCTGTCTTATTCTAATAGTGGATACAATAAAAATTTCACCACAACATATTCGTTAACAAAGAGCACATGTCAATGTTTGTGGTTAAATCCATTGTTATTCAAATAAAAGGTCAGAGTAGAGATCTATAAATAGACTGCAGAGAAATGAAGAGTTTTATGACTCCATTACATATTACAAAGAAAACACTAAACTGGCATTCCAACATTGGTTTAAGAACTTCTTAAATTGTAAGAAAATGACAAACAAGAGCTGTCACCCAAAGGTTTCTTAAGCATGCAGATATTATGAAAAGAAAAGAGAATGAAAGTAACTAATTTCAAAATATAAGTGTGACCTTGACCTTTAAGAAGGGTCCTGGGCGAGACAAAATGTTGTAATGAGATAGACATCTGTGCCAAGTTATTTCAACATCCCTCAATGCATGACAAAGATACAGTCTGAATACGATTGTTGTGTAAATGGGGACAGACGGACATAAGCCTTAGCCGCGACACTTTGTCCTGATGTGGTAGACATTTGTGTCAAGTTATTTTAAAATCCTTCCATGCAGGACAAAGTTACAGTCCGGACATGAATGTGTATCTTCAAACTCTTCTCGAGAGAATGAGTACCTTCAAACTATAAGTGTGACCTTGACCTTGAAGGTAGGGACATGGGTCTTTGTCGCGACATGTCGTCTTGATGTGGTAGACATTTATGCCTAGTTATTTTAAAATCCTTCTATGCATGACAAAGTTACAGCCCGGACACGATTGTGTGTACCTATTAATTCTAATTGTGATAATGTGAAACTTCAAAATGTTAGTGTGACCTTGACCTTTGAGGTAGGGACGTAATTCTTGGACGCGACACATCGTCTTGATGTGGTAGACATTTATGCCTAGTTATTTTAAAATCATTTGGTGCATGACAAAGTTACAGTCCGGACACGAATGTGTGTACCTCTTTACGTTAATTGCGATAAAATGATAACATGATGTGGTTCTTGAACGCTACACATCGTCTTAATGTAGTAGACATTTGTGCCAAGTTAATTCAAAATCCCTCAATGTATGACATAGTTACAGTCCAGACACGAATGAAGTGGGGACGCACAGACGGATGGACGGTGCGATTTAATATGCCTCCCTTCAGGGGTATATAATCAAACAAGAGGGCCATGATGGCTCTGAGGTCGCTCACCTGTATATAGGCCCCCCCAACCCCCCCCCCCCCCCCCAACGTTGCAGAGCCAATTTAACCCAAGGGCTTTTATTTGCACAAACTTGGTAGACACCCATAAGAAGATCTTTCATGCTAAAATTTTAAGCTCTAGCTCATTGGGCTTTTTAAAAGAAGATTTTTTTGAAGTTTTTTACTATACACATATAGTTAAAAAACAATGACACCCCTGGGGCCGGGCCAGTTTTGACCCCAGGGCTTTTATTTGAACAAACTTTGTAGACACTTACTAGAAGATGTTTCATGCTTAATATCTAAACTCTAGCTATTTGGGTTTTTTCAAAGAAGCTTTAAAGTTTTTGCTAAACACATATAAAGAAAATCAATGACCCCCGGGGCGGGGCCAATTTTGACCCCTGGGCTTGTTTTTGAAACAAACTTGGTAGACACCTATTAGAACATGTTTGATGCTCAATATCTTAGCCATAGCTCTTTGAGTTCTTTAAAAGAAGATTTTTTAAGTTTTTACTATATGCATATAGGGAAAATCAATGACCCCCCGGGCGGGGCCAATTTTCACCCCAGGGCTTTTATTTGAACAAACTTGATAGACACCCATTAGAACATGTTTCATGCTAAATATCTAAGCTCTAGCTCTTTGGGTTCTTTAAAAGAAGATTTTTTAAGTTTTTACTATATGCATATAGGGAAAATCAATGACCCCCGGGGCGGGGCCAATTTTGACCCCAGGGCTTTTATTTGATCAAACTTGGTAGACACTCACTAGAAGATGTTTCATGCCAAATATCTAAGCTCTAGCTCTTTGAGTTCTTTAAAAGAAGATTTTTTAAGTTTTTACTATATGCATATAGGGAAAATTCAATGACCCCCAGGGCGGGGCCAATTCTCACCCCAGGGCTTTTATTTGAACAAACTTGGTAGACACCCATTAGAACATGTTTCATGCTAAATATCTTAGCTCTAGCTCTTTGGGTTCTTTAAAAGAAGATTTTTTAAGTTTTTACTATATGCATATAGGAAAATCAATGACCCCCCGGGGCGGGGCCAATTTTGACCACAGGGCTTTTATTTGAACAAACTTGGTAGACACTCACTAGAAGATGTTTCATGCCAAATATCTAAGCTCTAGCTCTTATGGTTTTTTAAAAGAAGATATTTAAAGTTTTTTCTTTCGGTTGCCATGGCAACCAGAGTTTTGCATGGAATTAAATTCTTTGAACAATTTTTAAAGGTGACCACCAAAGGAACATTCCTGTGAAGTTTGGATGAAATTGGCTTAGTGGTTTATGAGGAGATGTCATTTAAAGTAAAAGTTTACGGACGGACGGACGGACGACGGACGGACGGACGGACGCCGGACGAAAAGCGATCACAAAAGCTCACCCTGTCACTTTGTGACAGGTGAGCTAAAAATAAAGAATTAAAAAAAACAAAAACAAAAACAAAACCAAACAAAACAGAAAAACAACAAGAACAAACCATACCAACAATGCTCTCCAATAAGAAGACGGAAATAACATTGTTACTATAGTAACTGAGGGCAAACACTGACGGTATATCTATAGCTGGAACCACTTCCTTTTCCCCCTTTTCTCCATCCGTTCTGAAATACAGGAGTTTATATTTCATTATCAAAATGTCTGCCTTTTGAAATCTAAATTATAAAATTCATTTTGTTTTTTTGTTTATAAGTGTGGAGATTATTTTCTATATAATTTAAATCAACACTAATTTACATCTCACAAGTTTGAAATGAAATCCGACAAAATAAATTTTCTTGAATTAACAAGCAAAATATTTGAAAAAAAAGGAGAAAATATCAAGCTTTCAATCCTACCTCCAATTAACGAGACTAGGTCCTAGAAGGGACAAGGAATAACACACTATATCTCTATTGCTTGATGACGGTGAGAACCCCAAATCTCGCTTCCGTACCAATACTTCCTCCCTAATCCACACAAAATCTCTCACCAGTGTGTCCAATGATGTTCCCTGCACACAAAACAAAACATTTAATAAACCTGCAAAAATACTGTACAATCCTTCAAAACTACGGAAAAAAAAACCAGTCAAACAGACAACATACAAACAAGATTCTGGATAAAATGGGAACTTTTCCAATTTACAAATGGAATAATTATAAAATGGGAACTTTTTACGAATGGAATAATTTATAAAATGGGAACTTTTCAAATTAACAAAGGGGAAAAATTTAGTAGGAAAATCATTGCCTGAGTTATGTGACTTAGTAAAAAAGGCAGAAAAATAATCCCAAGCTTCTCTACAATTCTTCTATTATTTGAGAGCTACCAAGAGCTAACAGAGAAAGTGGTTATGCCTTTACCACTAATAAAGATAGATAAAGTTGCACATTAAAACAATCATGGCTTTTAACTAAATTTTCATACTTTGATATGGAAGCCCATAAAAGTCAATAATCGACAGTTATACATTTAAATAAGGAAAAGTTTAACCACAAATACATGTATACTGTGATAAAGATTAATAGTATGTTAAAAGCTAAGAATATAATAATGATCTGGCCAACATAAGTATGTAAATATTTTATTATCGTAACATGTTCATATCTATTACAATAGATATCTACAAGAAAAAAATAACACAGCACCTGGCCACATGGCCCTATAAGTCACCAGAAACCATACAATTATAAAAAAGTAACATATGTATTTACACATATATTGTGATTTGTTTTCAAATACCAATTTGATTTGAATAATAACAAATATAAACACAGCTTGTTGCAATAAATAAATTAGACTTATGTCTCTTTTTTATAAAGTAGGATAGTTTAAAGAGAATGTTTAACTTTCTTTATAACAAGTACCAATTATCTTGCTGAATAGAGTATTGTATATGCCAAATATATTTAACATTTTATCTACTGGAACAAAAAATAATTAGCATTTGCCACCAGTAATGGCTTGATACACTTGGTAGCTTGACATCCCTTACACTTTAAATGGACTATTCCATATTCAAAGCTGGGTTAATCCATTACACAAATTCATCAGGTAAAGGGGTTAATAAGTACAGAGAAATGTTACCTGTCTATGTTTGGTAAGAAGGAGAAATGACAGTAACTGTGTACACATTATAGCTGACGTCTGCACGCAAGCTGAAATAAAAAATCAGGGATAACATTGTAGCATTGTGTTTTCCCAAGGTGATAATCAATTATCTCTAGTCAAGTCTGATCCACTTCACATGGTCAAACATGATGAATAATGTTTCTGACATATTGTCTGACATATTTACTCTTACCATACTAAATATCTTAAATGGACTTGTCCATTGTTCAATCTGGACAAAACCATTCATCATTTTTAGAGAACATTTTAAAACAACAAGTACTGATTGAATAGTGATGTGTGAACTGATCTAGGTCTGTACCAGTTGCTGCCTGGTAAGTTCCAAGAATAGACTTAAATGTGAGCCATGTCATGACAAAACCAACATAATGCGTTTGCGACCAGCATGGATCCAGACCAGCCTGCGCATCCGCATAGTCTGATCAGGATACATGCTGTTCGCTTACAGACCCTATAACAAGTAAATAAACTGATAGCGAACAGCATGGATCCTGATCAGACTGCGCGGATGCCCATGCTGGTCTGGATCCATGCTGGTTGCAAACTTATTATGTTGGTTTTGTCGTGACACAGCTCATATAATTAATAAAGGTCTATTGAAAACTTTAATGCAGCACGCCTCCAGATTCATGTTAATTTTCATGAAAATTTTGGAAATGTATTTAATAGTAAAATAGTGTGAGGTGAACAAATAAAGGAATTAACATATTGCAATCGGCACATTCAATCCAAGAAAATTACCAAAAATGCAAAAAACAGTCCTTACTGCGTTACTAACGCAGTAGAAATATGATTATAAAATACTGCAAAATCAGTCTTAAACCGCATATAACATGTAAAATATAACTTGGATCTTGAATGTTTTACCTTTCTTAAAAATTTTAGTATGCTTTTCTCAATATTGATTTTCTTGAAATATTTTGGCTCATCTAGAGGCGTGCTTAAAGAAACATGAGTAAATAGACACATTGGGAAGAAACCATAAATCCGTTGAAGCTAGATGTACAGGCTGGTCTGTGCTGGTGTTGTGGGTAGAATCTCTTACTACCAGAAGGTTAAGAGTCGATACAAAATGCAGACAATTTCAGAATATTTTGAGCACATTTTTAGATCTAAAGTATTATTAAAACCATTTTATTTGAACACTTGACTTACTGTGTAACACATGAAGGCCAACACGGTTGACTAGTTGTCTCTGATCCTCAGTAACAACGTCGGTTCCGTACAGGGACGTTAAACTACTGATACGAACAATATTAGGTGGGGAACCAGGATTGCTGAAATCTCCCGTGGATGAGTCAGGGCTCAGTGAGGGGCTCTGAAGCTGACAAGCTAGCATTAACTCCTGATCAAAATAAAGCATGTGATTAAAATAAAATAAACAGTTTCAATGCCGACTAGAATATAGCAAAATAATGAAGACATTTCTTTTATCTTGATAAATAATGTTATTGGGTGAAAATAAATTAAACTGGGCTTTATTAATAAATCCATGTCATTATAGCACAATTAATGTCTATAAAAATATTAATGTCTATAAAAATATACAAAGCAATATTGTAGGATATGAGCTTAAACCATATTGAAGCATAGACAAAGATGTACAATGCACATGTATATTATGGTGAACAGATATCAAATTCTACTTTTTGGTTTGTTACACTGCTTTACTGGTGATAATAAAATACGTCATGTGCTGCTCAGTGCATTATCTCAGGTATGACCAGGTCAAAAAGAACAAACCTTGACTTTACAATGTTTTGTATGGAAGTAAAATACTTAATCACATGAAAGAATAAAAAGTCCCTAGTGGAATTTTAAGCAAACAGTGGCCAGACCATGCAAGACAAGTTATTTGAAGTCAGCTGTTTGAACTGATTACCCACAAAGGTCTCTTACATATCAAATGCATTTATCAACTTTAACAAATTTTCTTGTAATTTACCTTCATTGAAAATGGTTGAGCGAAGTCGACTCTCACATTTCCGTAATGATTTCTCATTACTGACCAGATTCCACGGATAGCACCAAAAAATGACTCCTTCTTTTTAGCCACACCCTTCAATGATCAATAAAATAATCTCATAATATTCATCATACATGTACTTGCAAAAAAATATTATGCTAGTCTCTCATTTAACAAAAATATTATATTTCTGCTTTTAAAGTCTTTAACATTCAATCAGCTAGTGGCAGATTGTTATTTTTCTTGATCTTTAGTACTCAATCATTTTCAACCGTTTATAACCAGAATTTAGTACAAAGTGATAATAGACAAGTGGTTGTATATAATCTAATGCCCATGATTTTGGAGAAAAAAAATCTTCCAGAAATAACCAATTTGCTACAATATTGGTCGATGTTAGAAGCACTACAGTAAGACTACCTTAACTGATTTGTCCAGGTTTAAAAATGGGCAAGTGCACTTAAGATATGAGCCGCTTCATGACAAAACCAACAGTGTGTTTGCGACAGCATGGATCCAGACCAGCCTGCGCATCTGCGCAGACTGATCAGGATCCATGCTGTTCGCTTACCAACTCTATTACAAGTAGAGAAACTGATAGCGAACAGCATGGATCCTGATCAGACTGCGCTGATGCGCCGACTAGTCTGGATCCATGCTGGTCGCAAACCCATTATGTTGGTTTTGTCGTGACGCGGCTCAAAGTTTAACTTACCATCTGTTCATTGTTGAAGTTACCTTCCAACAACTTCTCATAACTGATACTGACTGGCACAATATACAGATCCTCTGCAATCCCTGAAAATAACAACACAAACATCAATAAATTATCTCCTTTTTAATAAAGATTAAGATCTTTCTAAATATTTGACAAGAGGGCTTTCATGGCCATGGATTGCTCACATGAGATTGAGTGCTAGAATGGGTCACAATTTTTCAATAATGAAGTAATTATGTGTGAACATTGGGTGTGTCATTCTTGACCCAAGCTGCATAATTAATAAAATAATCGTAGAAGTCTGCTAGAAAATGATGATGGATGGATGTAAAACATCATACAATCACTAAAACTCACCTTTGTGCACTGAGCTTAGGTAAGCAAAAATAGCAATTTCTTCTAGGTAAGTTCATAACTTAGCCTATCCATGTACAGATATTTACTTGATAATACACAAGTTTTTATTTTCGTTTTTTTTTATGTCAGGCTAAGAACCCTTTCAGACATATATGATCTTTTCTAATATTGCTACAATATAAATGTACAAACATTGGCTAAAAATATACATTAAGATAATTGGTAAAGAACTATGTAAATAAGTATAATATACCATTTGTTAACGAGTCTACCACTATTGACAGTAGGCCACCTTTCGGCTGTAACGCCTTTCCAGTACGACTTCGACCACCTTCTAAGAAAAATTCCAAGTTTTCTCCTTCACATAACAACTGTTCCATATACTGAAAATTAACAAATAACAAGCAATTATCATAGTATTGCAAGCAATCCATAAGTCCCCTACCGGATAGAACCTCATCAGCATTCTGAAGGGCCATTGGCCATTCACTAATGTGTAAATTTTTCTCTATTTTAAGTAAATTTGTTGGAAATGTTCTTTAAAAGTGATCACAGGAAAAAGTTTTTATGAACAGACAGACAGACGAACTGAAGGACACTCTAAAGTTAATATTTGAAACATCCCTGTTACCAAAATACATTTTAAAAAGCAAAATTCTTCAAGAGGAGATAACTTTGGAATTAAAGATGCAATTTCATAAAAGTTTCAGCTCTTTTTGACTAGTCACAATATTGTTATATTTGTCATGTTTTAAGCCTATTTGTTGCCAAGGCAACAAATATTTTTTCAAAATAGGGGGGACTGATAAGACCCTGCATAATCTCAAGATTGCATCTACCCTATGTCAAGTTTCATAAAAATATTTCCAGTACTTTTTGAGTTACCACTGAATTCAGTTTATGTGTACAATTTGCCATATTTTTCAGTCTATGTGTTGCCATAGAAACCAGAATTTTCAACATAGAAGAAAAGAAAAAGACGTGGTATAATCTCCATACTGCCATCTACACCATATTTAACAAATTTCATAAAAATATTTCTATTACTTTTTGCGTTAACACTGGATCCAGTTTATGTGTACAAAATTGCCATATTTTCAGTCTATTTGTTGCCATAGCAACCAGAATTTTCAACATAGGAAGAAAAGAAAAAGACGTGCATAATCTCCATACTGCCATCTATCCATATATCAAGTTTCATAAAAATATTTCAGTACTTTTTGCAAGTTATCGCGGGATCCAGTTTATGTGTAAAATTTGCCATATTTTCAGCCTATTTGTTGCCATAGCAACCAGAATTTTGAACATAGAAGAAAGAAAAAGACGTGCATAATCTCCATACTGCCATCTATCCATATATCAAGTTTCATAAAATATTTCCAGTACTTTTTGCGTTATCACTGGATCCCCAGTTTATGTGTAAAATTTGCCATATTTTCAGCCTATTTTGTTGCCATAGCAACCAGAATTTTTCAACATAGGAAGAAAAGAAAAACAGACGTGCATAATCTCCATTTACTGCCATCTATCCATATATCAAGTTTCATAAAAATATTTTCAGTACTTTTCAAGTTATCGCGGGATCCAGTTTTGTGGACGGACGGACTGACAGACAGACGGACGGACGGACAGACGGACGTTCTCACAGGACAGTAATTATGTGGCTACTCTATTGTTCTCTCTATTGTTCTTTTTAGCCACACAAAAGAAAATAGCCACATAAAAGCATTACAGAATGAATGACATCAAAGAGAAAGAACAGTTACCTATTGTCCCTCTAGCCACATAATTACTCTCCTGTGAGTGCGGACGGACAGAAGGACGGAGGGTATACCTAAAGTCCCCTCCGGTAAACCGGTAGGGGACTAACAAGCAATTATCATAGTATTGCAAAGCAATCCATAAGTCCCCTACCGGTTAAGAGCCCAAGCAACATTTGGAAGGGCCATTGGCCATTCACTTATGTTTTCTATTTTAAGTGATCACAAGTGAACAGTTTTATGTACAGACAGGACAGGACTGAATGGACACTCTAAAGTTATTTTTTAAACATCCTGTTTCAAAAATATAACATTTTTTGAAGCAAAATTTTAAAAAAACAAAGGAGATAACGATGTCATAAGTGATGTGAGTGTAACAAAGAACAATTAGTAATAAAGTATGAATATGAATGTATATTTTGAATTTGAAGTAAATGAAAGTTTAAAAGAACGAATAGGAAAAAAAAAAGTTTAAGGAGGATGTAATTCTGGAAATATGGATGCTAGATTTATAAACCTTGTCATATTATTGTCATATTATTATGATTTGTGAGTTTGAAGAAAATCCTATCATAATTGAAGAAATTTAACCAATTTCTCAAAAAAAAAGTCAAGTTTCAAAAGGGGCATAATTTCTGGAAATAGTCTTGCCCTACAGTAATTGAACACTCACAAATGTTGAGTGATAATAAGAAACATTTATATGAAGTTTGAAGTAGATACGTTCAGAAAAAAAGAAGTTGTTAAAAAAAAAAATGTTTTTTTCATGAAAATTTTTAAGTTCCAGGGAGAATAATTTCTGATAAATTTTGTGCTAGAGTTGTAAACTTGTCACATATGATGTTGGTTGATGACTAGCAACTTATATTTAAAGTTTGAAGAAAATACCTTAAGAATAAAGAACTTATAGTGAAAAAACTGAAAACTAGAATCAGAAATCTTGAAATTCAGTCTATTTGTTGCCTAGCAACCAGAATTTTCAATACACGAAGATAAAAAAGAATGTGCATAATTTCCATACTGCCATCTACCAATATGTCAAGTTTCATAAAAATATTTTCAGTAATTTTTGCGTTATCACTGGATCCAGGTTATGTGTAAAATTTGCCACATTTTCAGTCTATTTGTTGCTATAGCAACCAGAATTTTCAGCATAGGAAAAAAAGAAAAAAACGTGCATAATCTCCATACTGCCATCTATCCATATATCAAGTTTCATAAAAATATTTTCAGTACTTTTTGCGGTATCGCGGGATCCAGGTTATGTGTAAAATTTGCCATATTTTCAGTCTATTTGTTGCCATAGCAACCAAAATTTTCAACATAGGAAGAAAAGAAAAAGATGTGCATAATCTCCATACTGCCATCTATCCATATATCAAGTTTCATTAAAATATTTTCAGTAGTTTTTGCATTATCGCGGGATCCAGTTTTGTGGACGGACGGACTGACGGACGGACGTAAAGACAGACGGACAGAGGGTAAACCTAAAGTCCTCTCCGGTAAACCGGTAGGGGACTAAAAATGTCTTATCAACTAAACAAGTCACAACATTTTATAACAAGAGCTGTCGGTAGGACAGCAACGCTCGACTATTCTTAGTGCTTGATTGTAAAAAAACTGCTTGATACAGTTACCTCTTCCTGTTTACACAGTGTTGCATCTAGAATTTCAAAATTATGGGGGATTGTCCCCCACTCAACTGAAAAATGTGGGGGACTTGAAAAAAAATTGGGGGACACACATTTACAATACACTATGATCATTTATTTTACGTTCAGGCATTTTTGACAGCTATCGTCCGCTCAAAAACGGAAGTAGAAAAAATAAAATATTGACGAATACTACAAAACACGCGCGAGATGACCCAGTCGGCTGCTACACGCTTTTTAGTACGTATTTTAGTCATTACCACGAGTGAAAACAAACATGACTGAAGCTTTCAAGGCACGATGAAGATGAAATGAATAAAGTTAAACAAGAGGGCCATGATGGCCCTGAGGTCGCTCACCTGTATATAGGCGCCTCCAACCCCCACCCTCCCCACCCTAACGTTGCAGGGCCAATTTAACCCAAGGGCTTTTATTTGCACAAACTTGGTAGACACCCATAAGAAGATGTTTCATGCTAAATATCTAAGCTCTAGCTCATTGGGCTTTTTAAAAGAAGATTTTTTTTAAAGTTTTTACTATACACATATAGTTAAAAACAATGACACCCCTGGGGCCGGGCCAGTTTTGACCCCAAGGCTTTTATTTGAACAAAATTTGTAGACACTTACTAGAAGATGTTTCATGCTTAATATCTAAACTCTAGCTATTTGGGTTTTTTCAAAGAAGATTTTAAGTTTTTGCTATACACATATAAAGAAAATCAATGACCCCCGGGGCGGGGCCAATTTTGACCCCAGGTTTTTTATTTGAACAAACTTTGTAGACACTCACTAAAAGATGTTTCATGCTTAATATCTTAACTCTAGCTATTTGGGTTTTTTCAAAGAAGATTTTTAAGTTTTTGCTATACACATATAAGGAAAATGACCCCCAGGGCGGTGCCAATTTTGACCCCAGGGCTTTTATTTGAACAAACTTGGTAGACACCTATTAGAACATGTTTGATGCTAAATATCTTAGCCATAGCTCTTTGAGTTCTTTAAAAGAAGATTTTTTAAGTTTTTACTATATGCATATAGGGAAAATCAATGACCCCCCGGGGCCGGGCCAATTTTGACCCCAGGGCTTTTATTTGAACAAACTTGGTAGACACTCACTAGAAGATGTTTCATGCCAAATATCTTAGCTCTAGCTCTTATGGTTTTTTAAAAGAAGATATTTAAAGTTTTTCCTTTCGGTTGCCATGGCAACCAGAGTTCTGCATGGAAATAAATTCTTTGAACAATTTTTAAAGGTGACCACCAAAGGAACATTCCTGTGAAGTTTGGATGAAATTGGCTTAGTGGTTTATGAGGAGATGTCATTTAAAGTAAAAGTTTATGGACGGACGGACGACGGACGGACGGACGCCGGACGAAAAGTGATCACAAAAGCTCACCCTGTCACTTTGTGACAGGTGAGCTAAAAATTGTCAGATGCGCGACTTGGCGCGCGTTGACTTCATTAAAATGCGCGATCTGCATAAAATATGCGCAAATCGCGCATCCTAGATGCAACACTGTTTATAGGTTTGGGTAATGATGGTGAACAAGTGTGCAAAGTTTCAAAGCCATATGTCAATGGACTTTGAAAATATTTGAGGTATTACAAAAACTTTAACGTAAATTCTAAGTCGAAAAAAGGGGCATAATTCTGTCAAAATGATTGATACAGTTACCTCCTCCTGTATACGGGTTGGGGTAATGATGGTGAACAAGTGTGCAAAGTTTCAAAGCCATATGTCAATGGACTTTGAAAATATTTGAACTATTATAAAAACTTTAACGTAAATTCTAAGTCGAAAAAGGGGCATTATTCTGTCAAAATGCTTGATACAGTTACCTCCTCCTGTTTACAGGTTGGGGTAATGATGGTGAACAAGTGTGTACCTCCTCCTGTTTACAGGTTGGGGTAATGATGGTGAACAAGTGTGCAAAGTTTCAAAGCCATATGTCAATGGACTTTGAAAATATTTAAACTATTACAAAAACTTTAACATAAGTGGTTACGCCGACGCCGACACTCGGGTGACTACAATAGCTCTACTTATTCTTATTGAATAGTCGAGCTAATAAATATTGTAATTTAAACAACCAATTGAGAGAATTTCAACCTTAATCACATTATCTAAGTACATGTACCTGATTTTAGGTCTATAATGGCCTTTAAACTGAGCATTCAGTTTCTTCCCCTAAAGAAAGAGCCTCATTAAAGGCCTGTTTAAAATTCACTGCAAGATAATTAAAGTAACTAAAAATAGCTCAGCCATGCAATAATAGTTTCAACATAAGATGATTATACTTACAGAATGTAAAACACTTCTATATATGGTGTCTTTCTTCCCATTGTATTTGTCTAATTTTCTACGAATAAAAAACCCTCCAAGCCCTCTCATCAGGAAACTGCAAATTTACAATCATAATTAAATAAGGAATTGGAACAAAATGAATACCTGCATCTCATAAAATTTCTGGTTTACAGGTTTTTTGTTTTTTTTCAGTTGGTTTAAATGTTTCACACAGTGTAGAGGTCAAATGTCACACACAGTGTAGAGGTCGAATGTTTAAAAAAGTGTAGAAGTTAAATGTTCCACATAGTGCAGAGGTTAAAATGTTTCACACAGTGTAGAGGTCAAATGCCACACACAATGTAGAGGTCAATGTCACACACAGTGTAGAGGTCAAATGTCACACACAGTGTAGAAGTCAAATGTCACACACAGTGTAGAGGTCGAATGTTTCATAAAGTGTAGAAGTTAAATGTTTCACATAGTGCAGAGGTTAAAATGTTTCACACAGTGTAGAGGTCAAATGCCACACACAGTGTAGAGGTCAATGTCACACACAGTGTAGAGGTCAAATGCCACACACAGTGTAGAGGTCAAATGCCACACACAGTGTAGAAGTCAATGTCACACACAGTGTAGAGGTCAAATGTCACACACAGTGTAGAAGTCAAATGTCACACACAGTGTAGAGGTCGAATGTTTCAAAAAGTGTAGAAGTTAAATGTCACACAAAGTGTAGAGGTCAAATGTCACACACAGTGTAGAGGTCAAATGTCACACACAGTGTAGAAGTCAAATGTCACACACAGTGTAGAGGTCGAATGTTTCAAAAAGTGTAGAGGTCAAATGTCACACACAGTGTAGAAGTTAAAGTTTCACATAGTGTAGAGGTTAAAATGTTTCACATAGTGTAGAGGTCAAATGACACATACAGTGTAGAGGTCAAATGCAAACTTTGCATGGTCCAGACGTACCAGGCTCTATATTGTTGATTAAAAGATGACCACAATTTTTATTGTCCATAATGTTTCAACATGTAAGTTGGACAAGTACATTTTTGAAAATCAGTTTCTGGATTATTAAAATCTAGTAATTTCTAACATAGAACATGTAAAGTAGCAGATCAAACTGTGTCAAAACTTACCCAAACAACGGGATATTAAGGTTATCCCCAGCAGCTATGTTAGGATTTTTAATGTCGTAATTCCACATTATAAATGTTATGATGATATAATCTAGATGACTCTTGTGTAGTGGCAAGAACAACAATGGTACACCTCTCTGTAAAACGTAACATAGAAAGTAAAATAGCATAATCAACTTGTTACAAGGAACTCCTTCAAACAAGGTTAATAAGCAAGAGCACCATGTGCGGTGTTAAAGATCGTCTGTTAAAGTAATCACTAATCTTACAATGATCTCACAGTGATCATAAAAGCATGTCTTTTTATTCTAAACAGAAAAGCTAATGAACATGTACATCTGGCTAAAACCATTAAAATAAATATCCAAATTTTCTGTTTAACAAATTATTTTGAAAATGAGAAGTTACGTCATTAAATTTACAAGTTGCCAAAGTTTGTCATATCTATTCATGGATGCTATTTCTGATTTATAAACATTTGAAAACAAGTTTTGTTCGTTTGTTTTGCGTTTTATTTTACTTCACATCGACACAGTATAGGTCATATCGCGACATTCCAGCTTTACTGGTGGAGGAAGACCTCAGGTGCCCTTCCGTGCATTATTTCAGGCACAAACGGGCACCTGAGTAGAACCACCAACGTATCGTAAGCTAGCTGGATAGCTTCCTCACATGAAAGAATCCAAAGTCCCTGTCAGGATTTGAACCCACAGCCGTGAGGGGCAAGTGATTTGAAGTCAACGACCTTAACCACTCAGCTTGAAAACAAGAGAGCATAATTAAGATGTGTATGTTCTTCATACAAGAATATGGTAGAAAAACTACAAGTGTCATGTGGGAACATTTGACATATTTAGTTCCTGGCTTCATGCAAGTAAAAGAGTCTTTTCTTCTATTAAGTTAAATGCATACATTAAAATTGCTTGCCTCCAGATCAGCCAAAATATTTCAAGAAAATCAAAAGATTTTACGAAAAGTAAAAAGAGTCAAGATTCAAGTAACAATTTACAGATTATAAGTGATTAATAACTGATTTTGTAATATTTATCTCCATATTCTACACTGCATGATTAACACAGTAAAAGTCATTTAATGCAAACTTTTGCTTATATACATGGATTGTAAGTTCATTACTTTCTTTGTTCATTTCTCAACATTTTATTTTTAAAAACATTTTCCAAAATTTTCATGAGAAATAGCATGAATCTGGAAGCATGCTGCTTTAAAACATATTCCACATATTGTTTCATTTTACGCCTTTTCCCCACAGTTTTTCAGTCATATAGGCAGGTAGTTTCCTAACCATCGTTCCTGGAGAGTTACACCAGTACTAGACTACCTTCCTCTGTGCTAAACTACCAAAGCATCTCCCGGGGATCGAACCCACGCCAGAGAGGTTACTGGATTAGAAGTCATTGACTCTAAACCCTCCACCCAGAGGCGGTGTCACAAGCTAAAGATTATGAGTTGAAAGAGATGTACATACCTTAGATGCTGTCTTCACCATTTTCATCTGCCCCTTATGTACAACCAGACCACTCAGCATGAGGCTCAAGAAATAATGTAGAAATGTTCCTGTCAATCTAAAAATAACAAATACATCTAATTATTATTATGTCCTTTAACCCTTTCAAAGCATGGAAAAAACCTATCTTGGTACCAAATTCTATCAATAGAAACCCTTTACACCTAAAAAAAAAAGGGAACAAAATCGCTTATATAAACCATTATCAAGAATATGTACATATTACTTGTGGAAGATGTACATGTATATTTAAAATATAACTAGACACTAGAAATTTATAGGACTGGTTCCCATTTATTTAAACAGCTTAAAAGCTTAGCACTTAACTTGCAACCAGTCTGGTACTTAATCAGTATAAAATGTATTACCATATTTTGAAATTTTCCCTAAATACAATGAATGGTATGGTCTAGAATGAGAGATGGGCAAATCCATTTAAAATATTTAGAGTTGCCAGGGTTTATCTGATGACCGTCATACATTCTTAACTCATGTATGTATCCAAAGATATTTACAGACTTTATAATATCAGATATAAACAAATGTTGTCATACTTTGTGAGAACATTAGAGATTTTGGATTTCATATTGTGTAGAATATCTCTAGCTCTCTTCTCTAACTTCGCTTGGTCTTGTTGTACTGTAAAAAAACAAAGTTTTATCATTATAACATGATGTAAGAAATAACTCCTAAACAGTATATGTGAGCAAGAACTTCGTAACTTTATTATTATTATTTTTGGCAGGGTTTTTCCTTGCACAATATTTGGTCATGTTTCATGTCACACCAACACTGTTAAAGTCACATGGCCAGTGGTGGAGGAAGACATCAGGTGGCCTTCATTCATTATTTCAGATGTGAACTTGCACCTGATAATATTCCTTGGCACTCTATAAGCTGCTCATTGCAATAATTTTTTTTTAATTTTATTTTTCTAATAAGAAGAAAGTTAAATATTACCTTTCCTCATTGATAACTGTATACTGCTTTATACCTTTTAAAAGTCATCTATATAAAACATCAATGTCAACTCTGGGAAAAAAAAAATTTGAGCAGCGCCATGACAAAAATATGGCTATTATTATGTGGCTGGTCGCAAACACATTATGTTGGTTTTGTCATGGTGCGGCTCAAATTTTAGTATTGTCAACCAAAATCATACCTTCTTCTGCCAATAATTCTGCATGTATGACATCAAGCACTCTGAAAAATATAACAATATCATACATGATTAGTGAACTTATTGACAGATAACACTTTAACATACATGAATCTTGCCTATCAAGTAAAATACATTACTGTTTATACTCATTAATTTATAATGCAAAAGTGGCAATGTTGAATTATTTTATAACCAGTTATATAAGAAAGATATTGTTTGCTGCTTTTATAGCATCAAGAAATCATTTAAAAAGAGCATGTTTTTTTTTCTTGTCCATGTGATATTAAAGGGTATAGATCTGTATCTTATGAAATATTTTAATAAAATTTATTAACAGTAAAATTATATTGGTTCCATTATTATATGGTTGATTCCTGAAAAGGTTCTATTATATAATGTCTCTTGTTATTTAATGCACATGAATAATGTACATAAACAGACAAGTGGGCCATGATGGCCCTAAAATCGCTCACCTGGTGACCCCATTTTTTTTCTGCTTAAAATGTATCTGTTATCATATTCTAACAACATGCCAAGTTTAAAGAAATTCTATTGAACAGTTTTAATTTTGCCTATATGTCTATATGAAAACTCCCGAAAAACGTCCTTCAAGCAAAAGTTTACGGTCGGGTGGACGCCGGACGAAAAGCGATCACAAAAGCTCACCATGTCACTTTGTGACATGTGAGCTAATAAAATGTTCCGGAACAAAATATTATTTTGCAATTTAAAATATGTTTAGCAATGATTTTGTGCATGCACCATTAAGTTTTAAGGCAATAAATTACCATATTTATTTCATATTTAGCATTTTGGAGGTATACTTTTTTAAAATTCAGACAATAATTTTTGCATCAGATATATAGCTTTATATACTTTAATGAAAGAAATGTCATTTACACAATAACAGATATTATTACCTCTGGCTAGTGAGTGTGGCCATACTCAGTTCTGGGTATTTATGTTGTGTTCTCGTCCTCCATGAATAGACTAGTGTAGAGAACTGACGTGACAACAAACCACTCCCTCTGTAAAAATATTGTACAGATCGTGTTAGAATAAATACATGGTGGTAGATTATTAACCTTTTGTAATCACTGATTAGAGCGGGTGTGGGTATTACCGAACACTTAAGGTGAAATAAGTAGTATTCGGTAATACACGCAGTAATCACGATTTTCAATTGACATTTGACGAATATGAGTTTTCCTTTACATTTACATGCAAGAAACACTTATCTACGCACATTATCTAAAGAGTTATGACATTTCATATATAAGACCTGACTGCTTCTATTACCGACCATATGCGTGTAATACCGAACACACATGCGTGTATTTCCGAACACTGCCAACTTTTTTAAAAAAAAACGTTAATCTTCACCTGAAATATAGATAAATTAAAAACAAATCATTTCACTATTGATGTAAGCAATATTTGTTTCGCAAGTATTCACTATTGAACAATGTATTACCAGAGACATAGATAACATGTTAGATTACGTGTTCAAATGTGTAAATATTAAATAAGACCAATTAATTTTCATTCAATAACAGCTGACATTGTGATCTTAACAATATTTGTACTCAAAAGAGGTACTTGTCAGGTACTTAGGTAATGTGAAATCTACGTAAATCTGTATCTTTAACTCCTCCCTAAGGTAGTGTTTGAACTCAGAAAACAATCTTTTAATCTTTAACCTTTTCTGGGGAAACAATCAATCGATCTCTCTCTCTCTCTCTCTCTCCCCTTTCTCTTTTCCAAGCTGAATGGTTGTACGAAGAGTCAGTTCAGGGTTGCGGCGAAAGTAACCCTCCAGCCAAGATCTGCTAGGTTTGTTTTCACGAAAGCTGTTCCGGGACTTTCACCATAAAGTATTTTCAAGTTCAAGTGTGTGCAAGCTCTTGTCTTGTGCCTCCATAGCCGATAATTGAGACATGACGTGCATGACCAATTCTACAATACATCTATCCTCAGACTTTAGTTAGAACAGGCCAACTTATGACCGGGACAGTATTCTGAGGGGTGGACTATGGAATCCCATCCTTTTTTTGATGCTTGGTTTCAACTAACAGAGTTCAAACGATCTAATTCAGCTATATGGTCAAGCATTTAATTCTGCTCAATTACGCTCTCGTTTTGCGTTTTTCTCCCTGCTCATTCATAAAAAGAAATTGTCTATGTCTGTCTGATCATTTTTTTCTTTCTCTAGAGCTATTTATTTGTTTATCTATTTATTTGTTATTCTATTTTTATATTTACTTATTAATTTATTTATCTTTCTATATATCTTTTTGATTGGTTGAATGATAGCATTAATTAATTAATTAATTAATTTATTTATTTATTTTAATCAATTGATTGATAATTGCTTAATTAATTTATTTTATTTATTTAGATGTATGAAATTATTTATTTTGTATTTAGATAAATTTATATCGCTATAATAATGATAACTGTGTTGTTTTAATCAGTGTAGGCATTGAGTTCGGTAATACACACATGACAAAATTTAACTGCTTGTAATTCCGAACATGCAAATAACTCAGTAAACAAGCATTTGATAGTATTGCGGGCAATACAGTAGTCCCCTACCGGTCCCTCAAAAAGTTCTTTAATTGTCATACACTCCTGTGTATTGCCATTTATAATGAATTTGAGGATGAAGTCTGTATTTGAAAATATCGACCACAAAACATAATAAAACAAGTTTCATAAAAATATTTCCAGTACTTTTTGAGTTATCACTGGATTCCGTTTATGTGTAAAATTTGCCATATTTTCAGTCTATGTGTTGCCATAGCAACCAGAATTTTCGACATAGGAAGAAAAGAAAAAAACGTGCATAATTTCAAGACTGCCATCTACCCATATGTCAAGTTTCATAAAAATATTTCCAGTACTTTTTGCGTTATCACTGGATCCAGTTTATGTGTAAAATTTGCCATATTTTCAGCCTATTTGTTGCCATAGCAACCAGAATTTTCAACATAGGAAGAAAAGAAAAAGACGTGCATAATCTCAAGACTGCCATCTACCCATATGTCAAGTTTCATAAAAATATTTCCAGTACTTTTTGCGTTATCACTGGATCCAGTTTATGTGTAAAATTTGCCATATTTTCAGCCTATTTGTTGCCATAGCAACCAGAATTTTCAACATAGGAAGAAAAGAAAAAGACGTGCATAATCTCCATACTGCCATCTATCCATATACCAAGTTTCATAAAAATATTTTCAGTACTTTTCAAGTTATCGCGGGATCCAGTTTTGCGGACGGACGGACTGACGGACTGACAGACAGACGGACGGACAGACGGACGGACAGACGGACGGAGGGTAAACCTAAAGTCCCCTCCGGTAAACCGGTAGGGGACTAATAAATATCTAAGTGACATATTAAGTTATTTCCCATATCACAGTACATGTATTAGTTTCACAAATAACAAGAAACATGTGACTTATCAAAATCACGTGACCAGATAACCTTATGACGTCGGGTATCTAAAATTAAAATATTTGTAACGGAGCACATTCTTGTCAAGCATAGTAGTATTTTAGTCTTGGAAATCTTTGCTTTGTCAAGTATCACGTTGGCAATATTACAGATATGTCGGGAAAGGAAGTGACATCATGTTTCTGATGTCACTGCCTTATAAGAAGAACATTAAGAAGGTTATGGTGGAAAAAAAATTGTGTTCGGAAATACATGCACGTTCGGTAATACCCACACCCGCTCTATCACATGCCTATGCCAGAATGGTCATGCCAGCATGCATAATTCTACCCTAACAAAACTTAATACCTAAATTTGGCTCGTCGGTCTTTCAATACAGATATAATCATTCACCATTTTTTAGGGAAAGTTTAAAATCAGTACTGACTGAGTAGCAAGCTGTGCAGATCATGATCAGACAACACTGGTTTCTTGGATAGTATCTGCTGCTGACATGAAATTTTACTTGTGTATGTCATGAAAATTTTCGCAACATTTTTTTAAGTCTTAATTCTGTTTGTTTAGGTCTAGTTCAAACATTACAGAATTTCGATGTGTATTATACTACTAGTATTAGGTTGATTTCTGCCATCTCATTTTTAGAAAATGGGCACGATATGTGCAAGGTACTGGATTCAAAACTGAGGTCTATGAACCCAACACTCTACTGAACTAACAAGGCAAGCCAAATTAACTTGAACATTTAATAGTGCTCTACTGAACTAACAAGGCAAGCCAAATTAACTTGAACATTTAATAGTGCTCTACTGAACTAACAAGGCAAGCCAAATTAACTTGAACATTTAATAGTACTCTACTGAACTAACAAGGCAAGCCAAATTAACTTGAACATTTAATAGTACTCTACTGAACTAACAAGGCAAGCCAAAGTAACTTGAACATTTAATAGTACTCTACTGAACTAACAAGGCAAGCCAAATTAACTTGAACATTCAATAGTACTCTACTGAACTAACAAGGCAAGCCAAATTAACTTGAACATTTAATAGTACTCTACTGAACTAACAAGGCAAGCCAAATTAACTTGAACATTTAATAGTACTCTACTGAACTAACAAGGCAAGCCAAATTAACTTGAACATTTAATAGTACTCTACTGAACTAACAAGGCAAGCCAAATTAACTTGAACATTTAATAGTACTCTACTGAACTAACAAGGCAAGCCAAATTAACTTGAACATTTAATAGTACTCTACTGAACTAACAAGGCAAGCCAAATTAACTTGAACATTTAATAGTACTCTACTGAACTAACAAGGCAAGCCAAATTAACTTGAACATTTAATAGTACTCTACTGAACTAACAAGGCAAGCCAAATTAACTTGAACATTTAATAGTACTCTACTGAACTAACAAGGCAAGCCAAATTAACTTGAACATTTAATAGTACTCTACTGAACTAACAAGGCAAGCCAAATTAACTTGAACATTTAATAGTACTCTACTGAACTAACAAGGCAAGCCAAATTAACTTGAACATTTAATAGTACTCTACTGAACTAACAAGGCAAGCCAAATTAACTTGAACATTTAATAGTGCTTCATGTACCTTAGTTCATGCCTGACGTCCAGTATATTTCTCATACCCTCCGTACTTGTTGTAGAAGTTATCAAATCTTTTTGACTATTTGGCATGCACGAGCAGCAATGACCCATCATAGGTCTTGATGAGCTAAAATGTTCGGGTAAAATCGAAGGTGACGTCTTGAACTGTGCAATGGTGGCATTTTGTACCTAAAATCATTTGAAACATTTTATTTAAAACAGATATATAGAAAAATAAAAATATTGTGCTCTCATTAATTTGTTCTTTGGAAGTGAAGAAAAAAAGTCATTTTAATCAATCTCATTAAAAACATCATATACTTACTCTCCTTCTACAACCCTTCACTAGGTAGAGTAACGGAGTGAAACGAGTAACAGAGCCAAATTGATGATCTGATTTTATTGAGATTGCATTTTAATGTGACTCAGATAGTGAATAACTGATATTGTGTCCGAATTAACACTTGTCCAAAGTAACTTAAATGCATTTAGAGTAGTTGCAGTAATGCTATTGTTTTTATTTCTCAAAACCTTCTTATTTCTTGGTGACCTGTTATAGTTTAAAAAAAAAATTACTCATTGACCATTTATCCGAACCATCTTTTGATCCTGTTGCTTTTCGGCAAATAAGTACAGTTATAATAATGTAGTATTTTTGTCATCAATCAAAATACTGATTTGTTTACTTTTCGCTACTTTTATGACAAATAATTCACAGTTCCAGTCTCTTCAGTTGTTAAGCTTCTACCATGTAGCATGCTCTAAAACCATTATTTAAATGTTATCAAACTCATGTCTGCCCTGTTTAAGAAATGAAAATAATATTCCTTTCTGAGTAATATTGCCCTAGTGTCTGTTGTAACTGCAACTCACCGCTTCTGCAGGTAAGGCTACCAGTCTGTTTCGCTCTCGCGGACGCCTTCTCTCTAATGGTTTCACATTATCACCAAACTTATCACGCCATTTTCTTCTTCCCGACTGTAATGCCTGCTCAGCATCCCCGTTCTGTGACGGTTTGACTCTCATTGGTTCCCGACTTCTGTCAGTGCCCCCTGGTGGTGGACCACTCCTACCCTTCGGTCCTCTATTCTCCCATTTTGCATATACATGATCGAGGTTCGGCAATTCTGCTGACACAGGCATTTTTTACAGTTAACTTTTATAGAATCTAGAACAATAAAAGTTAACAAAATAGTTATATAGTAATGAAATAAATGTACAAAAATAATACACTGTGCAGATGGGCATGCTTGACTGGCTCTATGCTGGTGAATAAAGGCAGATCACATTCTGTACCAGACGATTAAAGGTTTAAAAATGTTTTGGTCAAACAGAAGTTATATTATTAATCTTCATTATACTTCCCATTACTTGAGTTTTATGTCAAAAAACTAGAATACATTCTCTTAAAATGACATTATGCTCATATTTTCATAGTCAAGTTGAGCTGAATTGACTGTGTATTTTCTAGAGATTGACTGTTAAAATCCTGTTTGACCAACCGTTTGGGGCATAAAAATGCTAGTGGTTGACAGTGCACAAAAGGGGCATAACTCAAAAGTAACTCAGGGTTTTGAGATATGTGCCAAAATCACAGAGAACAGGTGTGTGAAATAACCTTTAGTTTCAACCCAATCCCTTAAGAAGTTTTGGAGTTGCCAACTTGCATGCAAAAAATTAACTTGAGTGTGATGGCAAATGCAACAGTAATGCCAATGCCAGGGTGAAAAGAATAGCTCCCCCTATTCTTCAAGTAGTCGCGCTTAAAATATTAAGTAAGTAAATGTAGTATATGTTCATATTTATCTATTAAAATTAAATTTACATCATTTTGAAATGATAATGAATATAATATTTTTTATTTTTTCTTGTACTTACTTTGTAACAAAAAATATACTAGATTCTACAAAATATCCAAGAAATTTAATAATGAAAACTTATATAATATAACTGCATGTAATTTCTTTTTATTTCATAAGTTTTTACATTTAAATTTACCTATTTTTCATTAAAAGTTAAAATAAAATCCACAGATCACTGATCACATGTAACCACTCTAAATCAACATTTTGTAATCATCCTTGAATACAAACACTCATAACATAACATCACTGACATGTAGGTTAGTTAAATTTTCCTGTCAAGGTTAAAGCCTTCATAACAAACTTGTCACTGTTTTATAGGTATATAATAATCAATATAACACTTTAAAGGAGCCTGAGGTGATAATAATGGAGATTCAATGATTACTTTGCCAATGTTTTGCTGTAAAATTACCATTAATTGCCCTTTTTTTCCAAAAAAAAATTTATTTTTTTTAAATTGTACATGTAAAAAAATTTTTATATCCCATATCCTTGACATTTTCCACTGTTATAATTACCATTGTTAGGTTAGAGGAGACAATATTTCAGTCATGTGCATTACATAAAAAGTTACATTTCAGGTGCAATGTAACTTCAAAAGCAATATTTCAGGTGCAATACTTCAGAAGCATTTTATTTCAGGTGCATTACTTCAGAAGCAATATTTCAGGTGCACTACTTCAGAAGCAATATTTCAGGTGCACTACTTCAGAAGTAATATTTCAGGTGCAATACTTCAGAAGTAATATTTCAGATGCATTACTTCAGAAGCATTTTATTTCAGGTGCATTACTTCAGAAGCAATATTTCAGGTGCACTACTTCAGAAGCAATATTTCAGGTGCAATACTTCAGAAGTAATATTTCAGGTGCAATATTTCAGAAGTAATATTTCAGGTGCATTACTTCAGAAGCAATATTTCAGGTGCATTACTTCAGAATAGGCAATTATTTAGGTGCATTTCTCTATTTATTTCAAGAACATTATTTCAGAAGCATTTAAAGTACATTTGATGTATTTCTTTAAGAAACATTTAATTAAATGCATTATTTCAGAAGCATGAAGCCATTATTTCAGATGCATTCAGAAGCATTCATTCTACAGAACTGCTTCAAATGCCAGTTCATTATTTCAAAAGCATTAGGTCATTCTATAAAATTTAATAACTGAAAACTTAATAAAAACATGTCAAAATTAAAGGTACTGATAAAACCTAAAAAAAAACTAAAAAAAACAAAAAACCATTATCACTTGATAGTAATTGGTTACTAGAAAGTCGTATGTTAATTTTTTTATCTATTGTGTAATCTTCATGACTTTGAACTTTTTGAACATCTAATTCAACACGTTATATCTGATTTGACCTTGACACCTACATCATGATAAGCCCTACCAGCTCAATGTCCTGTCAATTTATCATCATTTTATAACAGTACAATGTTCTATTATAACAATGAAATGTGCTGTAGTGAAAAGTTTAATTTAATCTGTCCAAAGTGCACATTAGCGGAAATTAACCCCACACACATTGGCCTTGATTTTTCAACAATATTTTCCACACTCCCTTTAACACAAATCTACAATACTAAAACATAAACTCAGCTGTTTCAATCTCAGTTTGTTTGAATGATCTGAATAATAAAATAAGATAAGCTTTTAATTAATAAATCTTTTAAAGTTGTATTTTATAATGATGTACAGTTTATCCTGCACCCTATTAAACCACACTACACTATTGCAACAGTATTGTCCTCTTTTGTAAAATTTGACCATTAAAAATAAAATTAACCGTTAACTTGCTGGAACCAGACGTAAATAGCCTTTGCCACAGTTATAGAACCAGCCCTGCAGTTTATTGCAGTCTGACCAGGGTCTACTGTTGGCTCACTGCCTTGTATATATGAAATTTTCATCTTGATTTAAAATGAAAATTAAAATTTATAATGCAAAGGTCGGAAAATAATGGAAGCTGCATGGACAAAATCCATTCATGAAATTTTGAAAGTTAGAAGTACAACACTGAACTTATGAAATAGAATTGTGTCCAGTTTTGCAAATGTCAAATAAATATTATAACACTAAAATAAAAGAGTTTATGGTAAAGAATAAGACATCAAGGACATACAAAAAAGTAACTAGGCTCTATAACGCTAGCATAATGTTTATTAGCACCCAAAGGTTTAAAAAGAAATTTTAATCAAGATCACTATTGTTATTTTCCTATGTGCAAATATTGAATTATTTTCCTCTATTCTTCTTAATGAAAGACCTTGCTGTGTAAAAACAACAACTGAGAAATAGGATAATATGAACCACTGTATTCCATACCTCTCCAAACTAAATATAAGAAATTCTTAACAAAGCTGCTTCCTAGTAGCCTTCTAGCTCTTTTTTTCAAACCTTATTTTCTTAAAAAAATATCTGTTTATTTATAAATAGCTTCTATCAGAAATACAAAACAATAATAAATATCCTAGTTCCCAAACAAAAAAGATATGTAAACCACACAACACTACCTACAAAATATGAATTAATGGAATATAACAAAACTCAAGAAAATCATGAAACCTCCAGTCTATCATGAAATCATCAGCAAGGTTCATGCACGACAACCCATGTATATCCTGCATGATTTTAACATGGGTTTAAAGCTTGATCAACTTGTGCTGTCTCCACAGGTTTCCTGTGATTTTCATACATCAAACTGATGACAATAGCAGTACTATCTCTTCCATTTCACAAAATCAAAAAAAAAAAAAAAAAAAAAAAATAATTTTGCATTGTATAAGTTTAAACTTTAACTTGGTATCTTAACAGAGATAAAATTTATAAACCTTGAACTACAGCAAACATAACGAAATGTTAAATCTGCACATTTTATGCTCACTGATCATTATCAAGAAAAATTATTCTTTAATTGTTAAACTTTTGTCTTGTGTGTCAAATGAAAAAATAAAGATATTTTCTGTTTAATAATCAATTTTATCTACATCAATTAAACAGTATCTAAAATATAAACATCCAGATATTTGTATCCGTGTGTGTTTCCATTTATTATAAAGTGATGTTTATCACATTGAAAGAACAATGAATTTAATGAGAACCAATGGGAATTCTTCTTTCATTAATATTAAGAAAAAATGTCATTGGTCAGTCTTTACAGGAAATAATTATACTAATTGGGCATGTTGCTATGTCCCTTTATCCTAATTCATATTTAACTCTGTTTTATAAAAAGATAAAAACACAAAGGTTTAAATGGCTTGAGTATAAATGCTAAATACAGGTATTAGACATTTCTTTCCATAAAAGAAGTGATTATAACTTTTGTTTAACTGATTTTGTTTAAAATCTGACATACTCTGATACCATTTTTGTTATAAATTTTAACTGATCTTTATTTCTTTTGAAATAAAGATCAGTTAAAAGAATCAAAGCATTAAAGGCCCATTTTGCCCCAGAAAGTCTTTATTTATTTATTTATCAAAAGTTTATTTTTGGTGTCCGGTAAAAGTTTCCAAAAAGTTACTTATTGGATAATTAACCTTAACCATCTTTTGCTTCTGATGCCTTTTGGTAATGATTATTAATAGTTATTGTTATGGATTTTATATAAAAGTCAAAATACTACATTGTTTACATTTTTCTACTTTTATGACAAATAATTTCACTTTTAAATGTACCTCATCTTCAGGCGATAAAAATCCGACATACTCTGATACCATTATTTCAACGTAACAAAACTCATGTTTGCCGTTTCTAAAGAGGAAAAAATATTCGTTTCTGAGGCAAAATGTGCCTTTAAAGACATCAGACTACTTTTTTAATTCTGTACTACCATTATTAATTTATTTGCATGTTTACTTCATATAACATAAAACTGTCTGGTAAATTATAGAAACTTTATTCCTGTCTGTAATGAACAATGATGGATAAAAGTCAATGGTATAAATGGCAGTCTGTACATTCTATAAACATATAATCAATCTGTGAAATTAGCAGTAAAATTGTCCTTTTGCCCGGGACAACCATTTTTTGGTCCGGACAACCAATTTTTAAAAGTTTACTTGCCCAATGGACTAGTGAAAATTTGCAGAAAGTATTCATCAATATGTCAACAAATAGTGATAAAATGCAAGATATCAAATACAATTAGTTTGCTTACATTTATGACTGTTTCTCACAGAAGAGAAGCTGAAAATATTTGGGCAACCAGTTTTTACTTTGTACGACCAGATTTTCTTGAATTGGTTGCCCGAATGACAACAATTTTAAAACCCTAATTTCACAGACTCTGTAATTGTCAATACATGTATATAACTTCTTTAAATTGATCAAGAAATAAGCAGATTTTACTAGTAGAAATCAGCTAAAGATAATAGAGATCTACATTAACATTGCTTTGTTACATGAATTAAACCAGTTCTGGCTTGAAAGTCAAATGTTACTGACACTGATAAAGATTTATGACAATAGCCACATGAGCAGTGAACTTTTACATTTTCGGCAAAAACTGGGGTAAAAAACATCTAAAACCTAATTTTGATTTGATATGAGAATAGAATTTAAACAGATCTTTCAACCTGTACAAAACCATTTCATCACTTATGGTGAAAATTGCAAAATATGTGTGCACTGACCATTATTAGACTGTGAAGTTATGGCTGACCTTGACCTGAACTTGTTGCATTAGTAGATTAAGTTGTCACCAGGTAACATGTATGCAGTGTAAAATGAAGTATGGTTTCCAAAGATATTAAAGAAAAACAATCAGGATGGGCAGACCTGGCACAACAGAATGGTACAAAGTTATCTCTGTTAAGCCAGACTGTTATGTTACTGACCATTAAGAGTATAAAACTATGAATCATAGATTGAAAAATGTCTCTGTTTTAATAGGACAGACTTGTAGTTATTTGATAATAAAGATCATTATATGATATCTGATATCTATGTTTACAAGATGTTAATAGGAATTGGCCTTTAACGGAAAATCTGTAATATCATCTATTATTATGTTGATAGTTTTTATATCATACCTAATTCAAACAACAAAACATATTATATAATATGTACATGTATGTGTTAGTAAGTGTTGGATACATGATCTGGTATGACATTTACTGATATAACAGATAAAGTGTTTTTCAACAAATATACATGTATATATGTTGATTTTACTAAATATCACTATAGAACTCTTATCAAAATTATGTTACCCAGAAATATTTCTTAAGAATATCCAAATAATGTATTTCTATTGTTTTTTATTAACATATGAAATACCCATGAAATAATAGGCACATTTAATGTAGACCGATTCACTTTAATACAGACCTGCCTCTAGTAATTGCATAAAAAGTTGTGTTCATTATTTTAATCTTATTGTTGCAGTGATAGCCTATGATATAAAGTCCTTGGTTCTCCATTCTAATCTGACAATTTTGCACAAAATATTGCTATATAAAAATATTTGCAAACAAAATGTACAAATGGACTACCATATCTGATAAATGAAATATCAAAAGTGCAAGGGAACTTAAGCCATTATCTATTCTCATCCTAGTTTTTGGCATTACTACTGTTATAACTGATACAATCATTTACAAAGTTATTATTTTGTTTTTTTATAATGAAAATTGAGAGCATTAATGATGAAAATATTGTAAGTTTAAATAAAAAGCTGATAAAAATAATCTCCTTATTTGAATGAACATAGTAATCTTTTTTATGCTTAAATAACACGATCTTTTAGTTTTAGATCTCTTAGAAAATTTTCAGCTGAAGATTCATGAAAAAAGCACATGATGTTTGTTTTTAACCCTTAATTTACTGAATTTCTTAAATGGACTTGTTCAGCTTCCATATTTATGACTGTCCACTATATTTTTCTCAAAAGTTTTTTTTTTGAATTTTGGTATTCTGTTACAGTTTCCAAAATGGTACAGACAAGCAATTAGGTGAGCCTTCTTTGTTGCTTTTATGTTTTGGTTAAGGCCATTTGTAAAGACCAGTGACCTTAAGTATTTTGTATATAAGACCAAATGCCACTTTGTTTATATTCTGAGCTACTTTTATGACACATTATTTCATATTATTTTTTTCACCTGATAAACATCTGTTATCCTCTAAATCCATTATCAAAACTTACTAAAACATAGGTTTACCTTTTCCACACCACACATGACTATTTTTTATTTTCATTTTTTCTGTGAATTAAAAGTTGGTCACACAACAGAATAGAACCTGACCATATTTATATACATTTTCAGGCCGGTCTGACTCTGTACTGGAGACAAAGGCTAAACTCTTTGGTTCTAGCAGATTAATTGATGGACCCATAATCTGACCTATATTTAATTAACAAAACATTTAACCACAAATATTGACATGTGCTCTTCTTTTCTTTTCTAACAAATATGTTGTGGTGAAATTCTTACTGCATCCACTAAACTGATGATACCCAGTAATAAGAATTAGGCAGGTCTGGGATCTATCCATTGGTATTTATAATACGAAGCTCAAGTGACTCATATTGATTATGACAGTGTTTTGAAATTTTTAAATACAAGTATTTTGAAAAATCAAATTTGTGTTTACAAGTTTGCCATTTGGAATTCAATTCTATTTTGTCACTTTGTAATCATTTTCTCTCATTAAATATTTAAACATTTTTAAGTGTTTGATAACTGTTGGATTGTAAATAAAACTTTTTGTATATAATTGTAAATAAATTAAACAATTTATAAATACAACTATAATATAACATAACATTTCATTTTGTAACTGATAAATAGTCTAAATATTCCTGAACAAAAAGAGTTGAAAGTTGAAATACAAAATTAAATGTTTAAAATCAAGATAACAGATTGATAAAAATAACTGACAAGCTGCTGTCACTAGATACTGGCCACTTCCTTATGATAAACTGTCAACATCATAAATTAACAAAACTCCTCTGGGCGATTGCATGTATCTAAGTCTAACATTCTTTTCTGTAAAATTTTAAATAAGTGTGCTTAATATTTATAATTATAAGAAGATGCTGATCCGGTTTGAGTCATTAAAATGTCCCAAAATAAATGGTAGGATATACCATTCATATATTTTTTCACTCCAAATTTAAGTTTCCAATATAAAACATTAAAATAAACTAAATACACACAAATATTTAAAGGGAGACCTATACATAACTAACCATTTTATTGCTTAATCGATAAAAAAATCCAATTAAAATTTTTAAAAAAATTTTACTTAAACAAATTTGGAAAATTTGAAATTTCCTATTCTTTAAAAATTTTTTTTTTAGACAGCCTTTTTACTTAATTTACTATCATAAAAATACAGCCCTTTTTTATTTTTGAAAAAACAAAATTTGGCCCTACTAACCCTTTTAAATTTAGAGCCCAAAAATGTTTTTAAAACCAATAAAAAACAGTGTAACTTTAAATTTTGTTTTGGTGGGGGAAAACCATACTTTGGGGGTTTAAAAAATATTGAAATTTTAAAACCACTAGGGCAGTTTATTTTTAAAAACTACAAAGTAATATTTTATACTTCCAGTATTAATTTTCAAAACATGGGCCTAAGCCCCTAATTAAAGCCCAAAAAATAAAAAAAACCTTTTTTTTTTAAAGTTTCATTTTCAAAATTTTTAAATTTTCCATTTTAAATTTATTTTTTTCCAAAGTTGTTAATTTTTTTTGGGCTTATGACCAAATATTTAACCCAAGTTATTTTTTAAAAATATAAAAATGTTTTTCCCAGGTTTTTATACTGTTTATATTAAAAATTAAAAAGAAGCATTTAAATTGTCCAACTTTTGAAACCAAAAAAAGAAAATTGTGCTTTTTGTGTATGACGGGTTCTTTTGTTCTGACCCAAAAATGAAAATATATAATTTAAAAAAAAAACCATTTTGGCTTTCATGTAAAATTTTTTCAGTGTTTAATTTTTTTGGGATTTTCCCAAATTAAAACGATAAAGGGTATTTTTTTCATTGACTTTAATTAAGTATTATTTTTTTACCCCCCCAAAATAAAGTTTGAAATTTTTAGATCGTCAAAAAACAAAAAAATCACAACAAAAAAATAAATCCCCAGACTAACTGTGCCTATCCAAATGCTTTCCCCAAAGAAAAAGGGTATTTTCTACCTTTATTAATTTAGTTTAAATTTTCATTTTTAAACCAAAATCTTTGAAAAATGAAAATTAAAAAGGGCATTTACCTTTCAGAATTTTCCCCGACTTTATAATACTTTTACAAAAATTTCATCACCTTTTATAAATTTTGAAACCCTCTCACATTTTGACCGTTGTTTTTCACGACCTTGAAATGCTAAGGGCAATCACCTGCTGTAAGGCGCCAACAAAAAAAAATACAAGCCCTTTTACCGGTTTTTTCCCTGTTTTCTCATTTAAAATTATTGTTTTAAATCCTTATAAAATGTTTTAAATTTGAGTAAAATTGTATTTTTTAAATTTTTTATTTTGGCATCCTAAACCTTTTGTATAATACGGTGAAATTCTGTAATCCGTAAAAACAGACATAAAGTTAAACTGTTAAAACTTAACCCAAAGCTGGGTGCGTCTACAAACATTGAAACAAGACAAGTCAAGTTAGCTTTTAAAACTATCATGCATGCATATGAAGGGTTTGGTTAACTCAGATAAATAGATTAAATGACGCTGATTAAATTGAACATTGAATGCTCATTTGGGTCTGATGTTTCAGAACGATACGTTAAAAAATAAAAAGGTTTAATAGTCCATTTATAAGGGAAGTCAAACTCAAAATTTGGGACCACTTAACAGTCTGGCCTGGTCTCGGGCTTTGGGCTTGCTCGTGCTACAGACTGCATGTGTATTCTTAAATGGAAATAAATAAAAAAATATATCAAATTCCATGCCTTTTTCAATGAAAATTTTAGTTGTGCGCCACCATTTTCAGATTAATGATAAATGTCCAGTGTTCCAAGTGAAACGGGAAGAGGTGCATGAAATTCAGAATGGCACCTTTAAAACCGAATAATGAATGACTTCAACGTTCATAGGCTTTGTCTAATTTCATATTATTTATTTATTAGATGTTACGCGGCACATTTATAGGACTAAGTTTTGGTAACAAAATAAAAAAAATAATTCGAATTACGTTGAACCAGTTTAGTCATTTTAGTACAGAATTGTGATTTGGAAGCCTTAAGATCTTCACCTTTTTTTTTAACAAATTAGACTGTGAATCAAAAATTGGAATGGTACCTCAGTCAAAATCTTCAACCCTTGCACAAATTCACTTGTCATGTTTAAGTTATGAAGCCCCATCTTCTTAGTAAAGCAGCTCTAGGCTTTTTTTACAACAAACATGACTTTTGTATTGACCAATGGGAAAATCAGTTCAAAGAAGTTTTGACCTTTTTCCGGGCAAAGGTTCAGCTTTTTAAATTCAAATGGGGGGGTTGGGCCAGCATTCCAGCTAAATGGAAAAAATCAGAATTTGATTGAAAAACCAAAAAATCCCTTTTTTTCATTTACTTTTTGGTCCTGTTATTTTTTAAAATTTTGGGTCACCTAAATCCTTTTAAATGTATGATGTTTAAATTTTTTTATTTTCAAAAAAATTTTCGCCTAAAATTTTCAAATTCGGACAAAAAATTTCAAAAAGGAAGTTTATAAAGTTTGTGCAAAAAACCAACAACTTTTGCGACCAGCAATTCCAGCCCAAAGGCGCATTCCGGCAGTCTAATCGGGCTCCATGCTGCCCCTATCATTTTTTTCCAAACTTTTGGAAGGGCAAATTTAAGGGATCCTGATCAAACGCGGGGAATATTTTTTCAGGCTTTGACAAAATTTAAA